AGGTATACAAACATGTGACATTAATCACTCGAACATCTCAAAAAACAAAAAACAACAAAGGCAGGCAAATAAACTATTTGTGATTTGAAAGAAAGGGGAATAAAGGAAATTATGAGGCTTGTCATTTAATATTATTCAAGTATTTATATTCTTTTGAATTTATTACACTTCAAAAAGTGAACTCTGACTTTTTAGTTTGGAGAAATGAACATGGTTTATAAGTCTATTTTGTAAATCTATTTTGTACATGTCGTGCAAATTGTTCAAGGTACAATTGAAGTTGGTATCCGGGTTAGATTCAGCCTCATATTTCAAATTTTTATCACAAAGATATGTTTGTCAGATTGTCAAACAAAGCAGTTCACAAAACAAGAAGTCAAAATTTAAGTACAGTGTCAAATAAGTACAGTTAAACCTGTTAAGTTGAACACTTCTGTAGTCGAACACCTCCATAAGTAGAACACTCTAAAAGTACTGTTACACATTTCTCGATATAAATGAACCTCTAAAAGTAGAACACCTATCCAAGTAGAACACACATTTTGACGTGTCAAAGGTGTTCCCTTCATGTAAGTTTTACTGTATATGAAGGGTTTTTGTTTACCAGGAGTCTGTGTCTTAAGGACAAAAATGTTTCTTAGAAAAATATTTTCTACTGTTAGATGAAATTTTACATGTAACATGTTACCAAATCTAAATTTAATGCAATCAATAAAAACAAAAAGGGAGATATGTATAACATTTATACCTTGCAAGTGCAAACGATGCAGATAACCTTATAGTTTTATATATACACAAAAAGTTGATTAATCTAAACAGTTTGATATCTTAATTGAAAAACTGTAAAATAAGCAGCCTTAAAATGAAAGGGTATGTTTAACTGGATTAACTGAACAGTAATCTACTACATCTACCCGTCAAAACAATTCTACACAATCATGAAAATTCTACGGTTTTCTCGCAAATCCTCAATAGTATGCATGACCAAATCTTCTATTCATATATAACCTAGACCGTGCTCTCACTACCTGTGAATTTTCTCCTCACCCTTTTCTTACTTTGTGATTCTATTGCCATGGAAACCAATTAAAGCTGTGATATTTTATTCCCAAATAACCTGATCCCTATGTAATTGCAACTTGATAGAACAGCAGACTGCTCTGAAGTAAATTATCCATGAACTATTTTATCAACAGCAAGAGAAATTACAAAATTGGATGAGAGAGATATCCTATCAAATAATCTAAAATATCATGCCAATAGACTGTAACTCATAACTTTCTGGTAAATCTATGCACTTTTAACCCTGTGATAAACAGCTGGTATATTTTTATCCTATGAGTCGAATAAATCATACTGTATAAAGCCGGTAACAAATGAGTATGAGGAAGAATGTAATGTAATACTATCATCAAGCCCCCCCCTCCCCATCCCAACCCCCCCCCCACCCCCAATCCCATTCAAAGATACAAAGGATGTAAAATACAAAGATTGGAACATCGTTAGCTTCAGTTGTAAATATGCATGTAATTATGATTTATCTGTCTCTCTTTAACTAACTATCTATTCCAAGGGATAGAACAGACTTTGGATCCCAGGGTGTGGATCCAACAATGTATATTGACATGCAATAAAATGTGCATAGAACGGGTCAAGCCATGGCAGCAATATTCAAAGAACACCCATGTACTAGGTCAAATAAGTAACTATTTTACATTTATAGATGTTGAATAACAAATATTTTGATTAAGCTATAAAAATGTTGAATATTTTGGATATTAGAAAATCAATAAGCAAGTGCATGTATGTGTTCTTTTGACTTCAGTTTGTGATTTGTAGACCTGGACATGTTTAATTACATACAATAACATTATGTTTTACTGTACTATTGCTGCCTCATTGTAAATGACAGATGGGATGGTATACCACAAGAATGGAGCATTTTTTAATTTCCCATGAGTCCTCCCAGGGTCATGAGACAACTTATGACCAATCAGCATTGGAGATTATGCTAGAACCACAGGAGAGTTCCTCAGCAATTTATGGGATCACCATGACCACAGACACTAGTTATGCCCATCATCAAATGCAAAAATAGCTAATGTAAGAAAACATGTCATGTTTGTTGAAATGTAGACTGTGTTAGACACATTATTATCTCTTGAAAAAACATACATGTAATCACTGGTAGATCAGGATGAGGCCAATAGGCCATTTTAAGGCCTAATTACTTAATAAGAGGCCCTCTTTTTAAAAGTAAGCCTTTTTGGAAAATAGCCTTTGGTTTTTTAAAATAACAAACTCAATATCTCAATAGTTTTTACACTTTACATTCGTTCAACTTTGCTTTTTCAAAGAGAGCTTCGTAGTTTAGAACTAGACTGCGTAGGGTAAATAGCTTTATAGCACGATGAAATACATGCTTGAACCTTCAGTTCCAGTATAAAGCAAAAATAATTTGACATTCTGTAAATCAAATCACAGGATGATCAATGACTTGTTAATTGAGGCAAAATTTCTGGCTGAGGCACGGTGCATGTAGTAGGTGCTGGCCTTGCTAAATCTCCATGGAGGAATTCAGTATTCAGCTCACTTTACCATTTCACTGTAATTTTACAACAACTGACAATCAAAGTCAAACTGAATGGGAATGTTCTCTACAATACATCACAGTAATCGAATCACGGCTACAAGTTGCATATATAATTCATTGCAGAACGGCCTTTTGCGAGTTAAAACACAGTCGAAACCCATACATCAACTCAAATCCCCATCACCAAAATATCAACATGACCATGATTCTTTCGATCATTTTCCAGAAATTATCAAACTATTCCATGCTTTTTGATGTTTCTTAGCAATTTTGAAAATTAGCTAAGTCTGTTTATTTCATGTCAAACTACATAGTTTCTTTGAATGTTTTTGATTTTAACAAGAGTTTATGACAGGTTGATGTTTCTGCACAGGATTTAAGTCTGCTATTCTTGAAAAGAAATATATCTAGAAAATACCAGAAGCCAATCAACTGATTCTTATGTACGACTTCAAATTGAGGTTTCAGTAGTTGACTCAAAAATATTTGGAAAATGTGATGATCAAAACAACATATCTACGTAGTATTGCTGAACGAATTTGAACTTCACAAACAAAAGTTTGATCCACTTGATCTTCATTTAATTTTGCACCAGGAATCTGACCCCCCCCCCCCCCCATTTACTCCATATGGAGTCCCATAAGGCTTGAAATATGCCAATGCTTCAATCGATAAGACCTTATCCCCCTACTGGAAAATAGTAGAATCCTCCCCCTCTAGTCTTATTCTTTATGGTGACTAAATACCTACTAGAGCCTACTAGATAATGCCAAAGTCGTGACAATCCTAACTATAAGAACCTAGCTCACAATTTATGTCAGCCAAGACCTATTCATTATTCTTATCAAGTCTATAAATGATGCCAAATACCACAGCTCCCTCATTAAGCATGAATCTGACGCATTCAACCACATGCTCATAATCGTTGTATTATCTCAAGCTACAATTTCCTTACTGCCTCACGATCGGTCTAATTAAAATGGATTTACAATGTAGTAAACACTTACTACTAAATAACAATGTCCGCTATTGAATGTTTATAACAATTGTTCCCATCAACAATCCGTTCCATAACTAGGCACAGGAATTTGAAATATGTTTTGTCTTAAGCATTTTAGCTATATCGAGGTCAATATCACATTTACGCCAAATCAGTTAACTGGCTTTGTAAATCTGTCATTTTTGTAGAAATTTTTTTTTGTGGAATTATTTCATTTTTAGAACTTCTTTTTAAGAGCAGCACAACAGAACTCTTTGAAAGACAAAATGTATTTTACTAAATCATGAACCCTCGATTAATTTTGCCAAATTCTGTGATTTTTCCTAACCCATGCCTCCCATTAGCCTGAACACCTAGCGGTTAGAAGTAATAACTATGTAGAGAAAGCTCCCTTAAAGAATTAAAATTGAGAAGAAAAACTTTATAAAATTTCACAATTGAAAAAGGTAACCTCCTGTCCCCCTTCATATAATGAGTTAACTAGCAGCCCCATTATTAATTAGTAAATCTTCTAAATATATATCCATGCATATTAGAGGAAGGAGATGAGGTTAGGGGTCACATTCCAACGAAGACCTCCCATACCACATTGCAACTAGCCCCTCCCTCTATTGTCTGTCCCTTTGCCTTACAGCCATTTCAACTTATGACCTCTATATCAGCTAAGCTATCCCCATCATAGATCAACATTAACTGTTGAAAAATAGAGAAACTATATGCTTGAAACTAGCTAGCATATATACCCATCAGCATAATTTTTTATCTGCCTATCTTTAATTGAACTAACCTCTGATATTTAATATTTCCAACATATTTAAAAGAATTATATTCATCTGCTATATTTCCAGCAAATTCATCTCTTTTTTCTGCCACTTCATTATTCAAAGTCTCGATGCTGCAATGTTATTTACAAGGGATTTCTGTATACTCGTTTCACCTTCAGACATTACTGTTCTTTCCAGACTGTTACATTGCTTTTTGTATTAACTCAACTCAATTGGGTATTTAAATTATTGGTTCTTGGAGCCACCTGAAATCGTGTCTCCATCATTAAAAACATCTCGATGTATTCTGAATAATGTTTTCATCAGACTCATCTTTTCAATGTATTGCATCTATCATTTAGTCTACACTGTACATGTATTATTTTATGCTCTCTTTAAATTAAAAAATTAAACACGTAATATTCATGAATGAATACACAATAGAAACTCCAAAGTGGAACATATTTTTAAAAGTCCTGCAGCCCATCACCTCCATGTTAAGGGGAACAATCCCAAGTGGAACACTTTTTTGTGGTCCCAAAGGTGTTCTACTTACACAGGTTCTACTTTATACATGTATCTTAACTCCAATACCTATAATGTATATACTTTAAATGCTCAGACAATAAATTCTTTTACTTACCTTTTATTTTTTGAAATCTTCCTGTCAGTATATTTGAAGTCTGTTCTCTTTGCTTTGTTTGATGTACATGGATGTTCAACAATCTGAAAGCAAAACAGAATTCATGAATTGAAAAATGTTTTGGCTATCACCTTCAAAAAACATATGTTGTAATACTGAAGAAAAACAGCACTTTTCCAGCCTCATTTAGGTAGGCATAGTAAAATGACTATTCAGGAATATTAAACCTGGACTGTTTATATGTCAGTCTTAATCATATCCTGAAGTAGTCTCACTAGACTCACTTTAGTCTTATGTCAAATCTCCCCCCCCCCTTAGTCTTATGTCAAATCTCCCCCCCCCCCCCCTTAGTCTTATGTCAAATCTCCCCCCCCCTGTCTTCCTCTATCCTCTATTTGTTTTGGAGAAAATGGGGGTCAACACCAGCCCCTGATGTAAGAGTAAGTCCATTTCAAATTTGATGCCTCTCTTTTGGGTCAAGCAGAATAAAAACATAAAGTTTCTACTTAGTCTCGCACCAAGCCATTAAATTTACTACTTCCCTCCCTAAACCTTACTACAGTAGTTGGGGAAATGGGCATTTAAGGAAGCAGGCAGAGGTTTTACGCAAGGCAGTTTCCATTTTGAGGAAGTAGGATAACCTCACCACTAAACATGTTGAAACCCCAGGTAGACTACCTATCTTTAAATCAGGCCTGTAGACCTATCTATCTATCAAGTTTTTTTTACCTGACTTACAACTTATGCACCTTACTCCTAGCCATTCAGTACACTGATACACAAAGCCTATAGTCTAAAACAATGAAACTCTCTTTAAAAGAAGAATATTATAATCAAACTAAAATGTACTGAATGAAAAGAGTAGGCATCCAGATACTCCAATGCTGAAAGGACAAATGTTAGTCTTCTGCTATCACCATGCCCTTATGTAACACCCCCTCCTAACTAGCACATCACATACAACTTTTATAGTCCAGTTAGAGAAGTTAGCGGGGGGGGACAGAAACTTTATTAGGAGTTAAGATATCCTGTACAGTCTAGTATGGACTGGATTACAGTTTAGCAGCCCCGCCCCCACGACCGATGCCCATGACAGCTCGGGTCATAATTCATTTCAAGCCTACCACTCTCACTTTTTAACCAATCAGTGAACTGAAAAGAACATGAGGTAAATGGTCCTCATTAACCATATGACGTCAGACGAAATGACCATACATAGAAAGTTGTCCATATTTTGACAACAAACACTGATTGGCTCGGTGAGATTAGAGATTTATTGTAAACTGAAAGAGTGATGACGAAGCTCTCTTTTAAGACGTGAAGTTGAACGAATGCAAAGGGTAAAGCTAAGATTACTGTTTGTTTGGGATTAAATCTCATGCCCTGACTCTTCATATTCACTTATCAGTAAACAATACCAATGGCTGAATGAATAAACCCAAATTGATATCAGTCAAAGTTGCTTTTATTATCATCATAAAACTGAATCAATATTTTTATGACTTTTACACTATCAAACATGAAACGAATCCATGCTACTCTTCAATCAAGAAAAATTGATCACTGATTGGGATGCCAGTCTTTATAAATGAAAACTAGACGGGGGCAGGTCTGAAAACTAACAAAGAGGAGGCACATTCCAAAGCATAATGTTTCATATTTTATTATTTTTGGGTCCAAATTTTGAAATTCTGTGACTAATCTTCAGTATTATTTGGCCAAAAATTAAAAAGTAAGATCCAGATCCGCCAGTGCTAGAGAAAACATCATTAATTTCTGAACGTATATCTGGCAAAGTATACGCAACAATTGACTCTTTAGGTATATTAAATAGTTTGAGCATTTCGCAAATATCCTGTTGATAGTGATAGACTTCTCTCATTATCTCTAGGAGCAATCTCTCTCAAAATGTCATGCTTAACGGGGAATTGGTCGAAATATTGATCTTGGGAAATGAAACATAATTGCTTTGGAAGGAAACAAAGGTTCGGTTGCAATGGACAGATCAATTTCTGATTCAGATTTCGACACAGGAACAACTTTTTCATCTTGACTCTCAAGGTATTAGTTGCTCCAACTTCACCTAGATATATCTAGTATATAATTCCATAGCTTATGTAAACAAAACAAAATGTATTATGAGCATGGGTAAGGCAAACAGATCACTTCAATAGCTTCTTTCAACAGACACCTCATTAAGGGCCATAAAATTTTCATTTGTAAGTGTGGTTACTTGTGAAATGAGTATTTGGACTTTGATTGGTACCATGGTAAAAGACACAAAATCAGCTATTTGTTCCAAGGGGTGTTATAACCACTTGGAATTCGAAGATGCAACTTTTTGTCATTAAAAACCTAGACCTAAGCTTTATTCTACTTTTCCATTCAATTTCGGATTAAAACCAACGCCAACAAAATGCTATTATTTTCAGTAATTTGATTTCACTTCTATAAAAGAGATCTTCAGAAATAAATACTTCTTCTGGATTCCAGAGTACCAAAATCGTGTTCATCCCTCTACTGAATAGTAGCTCATTGGAGCAAGCTATTATTCGCAAAAACTTAATATTCAAAACAAAACAGTAACAAGGCGCATGATAATAATATGGACACAAACTTACCAATCCTTCAACCTTATAATATATGGCACTTCAAATACACTTGACTACTTCCTTTTCTTGAGATAAGAATTTTCTGACCAACAATAAACCCGGGCATAACATTCACTCATATCTCTTCCAAATTCCATCGGTAAAGATTCATGAAATATACAGTATATAAAGTATATGATAACAAGCGCGCATGACCCTCTTAGCATGTACATTATTTCCTTGTCAAATTATTTTCTAAACCACATGTGTATTGCATGTATTATCATCACAAGCTATTATGAATTTTAATCTCCAAACATCAAGCATATACACGAATACTGTACATGTGTTGTTAAGTACATGTATAAGACTCATGCATACTATCTTTACAAGTACAACTCAAATATGCCATTGACTCAATCTTAACACTTATCCTGAACTGGGATTAAATTATTAAAAGATAATATGAAGTCAACAACATTTTGATGTCTTACATGTATTTTAATCCATTAAATCTTGTACAATTTGTACATTTTTGGTATCTTAGTGCTTATAGTTTAAATCTTATTTTTTAGTTATTTAACCTTTACCATGCTGCCTTATTTCAGCAAATATATCCCACGCAACTGGCTTATTTTTCAAAGAGTGCAAAAAATGATATACCTGGACTAAATAATTAATATCTCAATAACTACTGAATGAATCTGGATAAAATTTTCACAAAGGGAAGATACAGTGGCCTGGCTCATGAAAAAAAATGTTCTCATGAATTTTTTCGTACATTAACACGACTGGGCATAAATATACCATGAATACTCTTCCGGAATCCGCCGCTCCGCCTCTTCGTCTGGTCAGAATCCAAATCTGAATTTGCAGCGATCGAATGTTCAATTTTTCAATTCAGAAAATATTCTAGTTTCTATTTTCGATGACCGTTATCGGCTTCCAAGAGCCTAAAGAGCTCGAAATCGTAATCTATTTCCTCCACATTTTCGTTGTGATCGTATTTGTCCACCATTTTGTACGATTCGTTCACTAAAAACGACTAAAACACTGTTTAAATTGTTGAATTAAGAATTATTTTTCGAAATATCGCCATTTCTAGGTCAACAGGAAGTCATGTTAGGCACTGAATAAATTGGGCAATCTAATTGGACAATACGAATGGCGCGAAAAAGTAAAGTTTTTAAAAGTTTGAAATCGGGCGTACGGGTCCGCCGGCAGTTGTGAGAGACATTTTAGTTTCGGCGGACAAGTCCGCCGGCAGCACGCTAAAGGTTAAGTTATAGACTACTACGCATCTCAGTCAGTATAAGGTTAATATAATATTGCAAGGAAGTCTTAATCAAATTCAGCAACATATCTTCAAATATCTATAATTTAATAAAAATAATTTAAATTCCGTATGAGAAATTTAATTTTGCCATAACTTTACTTTTGAGTAACTATTTGAACAGGAATGAACAGTTGTAGAAGGGCTATATGATTATTTGAAGAGTTTGAAGTACATGTATGTGATAATATAATAAAGTAAGACCTCACTGTACTCTATTATTCAATAACTTGAACCTATACAAAACAATGAATATGACCTATTAACAATGAATATGACTATTAACAATGAATATGACTATTAACAATGAATATGACCTATTAACAATGAATATAACCTATTAACAATGAATATGACCTATTAACAATGAATATGACCTAATGATGAATATGATATGTGCGTAATGTTATTTTTATGAGTAGTACACCACCACAGGAACAAAAGTTGAACGAAGCAAAAAACAAGCATTCAGGGGGTCTGGCAGTTCTACCCCCAGAAAATTTTGAAATTGGGTTGTATTTGAAGTGTATTTGCAACCATCTGGCACGCTTGTACGTACCAGGCATACCGGGCATGATGCCTATGATGACCTGTATCTGCATGTATCTGTTTGAATTCGCTTTTTAAAAGAGAGCTTCCTCTAGTTAGTTTAAAACTACAAGAAGAAGCTGCGTTTAGGCTAGTGAGGTTTTACACACTGCGCCAAAAGGATGAAATATCTAGATATTTAACAAAATTACGTCATAAGTAAGAACCACGTTGAGAAAAAAAGTCCTCGGAAATCAATGATTTGGTGGCCTTAGAGTCACTGGCAAAAATTCATAATGTTTTGTTTAAAATAACATTTACAAAATAAAAACACAGAACCAGTCAATATTGACATTGGATATTATTTATAGCAATGTCAAATTTAAGTATGATAAATAAATTAAGAGCAGACATCCACTTCAGATATAACCATCAATCTACTTGATTTACTCTAGATATATCACAGTCACATCTAGCATGTTTTTTATCTCTTTTTCTACCAAATACAAAGTCTTGTATGTATTATTATTTCTAACCCAGATGGGTCAGATGCTCCCCCTCCCCTTCACAGTTAAAAAATATCTCTGGGATATTTAAGTCAAGAACCTGTGCCATTGCTAACTTTTGAGGAGTATATTCACCTTTTTCATAAAGTAGTTCAAGAGGTCAAAAACTAGACTGAGCAGTCTGACCTCCACCCAGCCTGGCTATAGTGTTGAAAAATATACCAACAATAAAACAAAGTATATATATTAACCATAGCCTTCAGACAGAACCTAAAATCAGATAGTACAAGTGCATACAGATTATACATGTTATATGCAGCAAAGCAAAGCAAAGCATTTTAAGTTATATTAGCTTATAACTTTTGACATTTGGACACTCTTAACCTAGGCGGTATACTTGTAGTAATTTATCAAATTACTATCTGAAATAAATTAATCTCCTGACCCCATTGCAACAGACTAAACAATGATTTGAGCAGCCAGATATATGTAGGAAAACCCGTAAATTTGAACGCCTCTGTAAATAGAACACATCCGTGAGCAGAAAACTTTTCAGAGTCCCATGACCAAATGGCTTAATGTAAATGAACTCTAGGTAAAACACCTCAAAATTGAGTAATGATACTTGATCCTATCTTTGTACTACATTGCAACCTATGGGCTTTCAAAAGAAGGGTATAAAACTTCCTTGATACAATCTATGAGCACCGATTTAAGAAATATAAGAACATTGCAAAAGTACTCTAATCTAAACTGAATTTAAAATACAAGTTCAATATAAATGTTAATGCCAATGAAAACAAGTTAAAGCTGGTTATAACAATTGGATACTGTACTTATTTTGGATTCTTCAATCTCTGGACATTTTATCACATGGCCAGGGTTGCAGCAACATTTTCACTTCAAAATTCCCTGACTTCCAGGCAAAGGCCAAGGGAAAAGTAATAGTAAACCTGTATATAGAACTCGGGAACATGTATAAAATAGCGAGTCCACATCTGTATTACTACTTCTTCTTTTAAGAAGAGTTCTATATACACCTTTACTATTACTTTTCCCTTGGCGTAGTAATCCAGATGTCGACTCGCTATTTTATACATGTTCCCGGGGCCTATGCTTCCAGGACTCTGATGTGGAATTCTGTGACTTTCCTCAAGATTGTAAAACTGACCATTTGAAACTTTTAGGAAACCAAAAATGCTATAATGAATTCTTCGGCGATAACTGTAAAAAATGTGCTTAAAAGAATGACTCATTCATCAGTAGTTACAAATGAATAATTAAAGGGCATAGCCTAAAACTAAGGATTATATGACATGAAACAATATAGAGCTGTCTACTAAAAGAGAGATATTTTGATATTATAAAGCATAAACTTCCATTTAACTTCACCCATAACATAAAAACTACTCTTGTTCTATGCCAAAATACTCAGTGATGCTGCTGACCGTGCAGGTGTAAGCTTAGTTTGTGAATAAAATGTTGAATTTCAGAAAGTTCTACTTGTCATATTATGATCAAAGGGATGTTCACATGTTCTGAATTTGCACTAGATGCTACAATTGCCTAAATAAAGAGGCTTCTGTAGGCTGAGGCTGGGATTTAGTCTTGATTTTATTTTTGAAAACCAAGAAAAATAAAGGAAAAATATGTCTTGCAAAACAAGAGCCACATGGCAATAATTAAGCTAAAATATATCAATATATATCAAGTTAGTAGTTACCTTTATTCAGACGAGTCATCTGCTGTTAGAAAATATCCGATATGTCTTAATTTGTAACTTTTATAGAGATTTTAAAAACTTTGTGCAGCCATTTCCGTCAGGACTGATCTGACATCTGGTGGCAAAGAATTAAAAACTAGACTAGTTTTGAGGGACCGATCATTTTCTTTTCGTACTTCATAAACGTCTGTTTGCCTCCATAATTATAATTTGATACATGTGTTTTCATATTTCAGGAATTGCTTCAATTAATTATCTTCCTTATTTTACAAATCAAATTTATGATTTATTTGAAACAGTATCAGAAAACAATGAAAATGTTGGATTGAGGAAATTGGAATTTCCTCACTGACTGACGTCATAATTTTAAAACGAGGCAGTTTCAATTAGACAGAAAAACTTTGGTAAGTGCAAAGTTCTGCAAATAAATCCATATCAAGAGATATTGTGTACATTTCATCCGTAAATAAACAATCATAATGTTCATAAATTATTAAACTTGCTATAGATTCGATATAAACCTTTATTTGAAGAAGAATCCATCCAGTAATTGGACAATGGATGAAATTTCATTCTTACAAAACAAAAAATTGCTGCCTTGCAATTTCTATAATTTTCTACATTTTGAATGTAGGCCTAAAATAAATTTCCAACTATGTTTCCAGAAACGGCCTTCCAGAAAACACCTAAGATTTTGAGTAGCCTAGTTCCAAACTTGATACAAAATCCACTGGATACATGTAAATGTGAACTCTCAATGTACATGTAGCGATAGTTCTTTGTTGCGACATGGCAGAACCTACAAAAGGTGATGGTTTCCGAAGTATGTTGTTCAACATGCTGGACCAGGTGAAAAATGACCAGGATGTGCAGGTAAGTGATTCCTTCGTGATGTGACAGTTTTGATAAAATGATGGATTGAAAGCCGGATTGAAAGCTAAAGATTGAAACTTCTCAGAAGTTTTGAAGTAGTGCAAAATAACCCACTTGAATTTAGTGCTTGTGTTGAGATATTATCCCTCATTTAAGATGAATTGCGGCTTTAAAGTCGTCTCAGTTGAATTAATTCCCCGCTTAATTGAATGTTTACCACCAATCATAAATCCTTTGTTTAGCGACTGTTAACTCCTCGTGTTTATTTATGCATAATCTTTTGGTACCCCTGTAAATGTCTTGACTCTGAAATACAAAATACCAGATATATCAAGTAAATTTTGATTTGTAACATTGTGGCCATCATCCAGTATGATTTTCTTAAATTTAATTAATTTCTTATTTTTAGGTTGTTGACTCTGTACCAGGGTCTAGTGGTGGAACCCAGCCACCAGTTAGTTCTAACCCTCAACTGCCACCCCCAGCCATAAAGGACAGCGATTTACAATGCCTGCCCCCTCCTAACCCTATGGGCGCATTGGGCGGTGCATCTAACATGGCACCTGATGCAATGGGCAGTGGATTTAACCTAGCAACTCCTATGGACAGTGAATTGGCCAATTTAGGACTTGAGTTCTTCAACCAGGAGCAGCTTGAGCAAAATCTTGTCGAACAGATGCAAAAGCAAATGGAGGAAGAAGAACGTACCAGATGGAAGAAAATCATTGAAAAAGATCTTAAAGCCATTAAGGAAGACATAAGGTTGGTCATTCATCAAAAGCGCAATTCTTATTTCAACATATATATATATTCATTTACTTTTTCTAGTACAGGAAAACCTATATTACTGAATACCTCTCTAATGCATGCACTTTTTGGTCCTAATTTGTGTCCTCCCATTGTCTATGTTAAAAATGTGAACACCTGCCAATTAGTAACAAGAATTCTTTAAACAGTCATTCACATATTGTAAAATTGTCCTCTTAGATCTTCCCATTTATCACTATGCATGGCTTATAATATACACTTTTCTTTCTAGAAATGTGAAACAAGAGTTGACAAACTTTGAAAAGGTGATATCCATGTTACCTGGCCAGGGAGCAATGAACAGTAGGGAGAACAAGAATAAAAAGAGTGCCATTAACAAACAGAAAGAGAATAAGGTAATATATTTAAGGAATAAATAATGATAGGCCATTCAATATGGTGAAATTCAGCACAAGTTGGACAGAATGTTGTACAAAGCACGAACCATATTGAATGGCCTATCATTATTTATTCCGATTCAAACATAAAAATTAGTAAAAGCCGTGTCTGTGGAACGGGCATGAAGGAAGAATACGCATGCTGTCAAGATTCTGAAGTCGGCCGGAAAAATTTTAGAATTTGTTTGGGCTGTTCTATTTTACTCCCCGTTTTAGATTTTATACGGTTACAGTAGTTACGGAGGGAGTAAAAAAGAACAGCTATCCCCGGGCAGAGCCCCAGATGTGCAGCTGAGATGTGACGTCACTCAAAACAATGCAAATTGCAGATTGAATAGAGCATGGTCGTGCATCTATGGAGAATTAGAGAACGTTCTATATTGGCTATGCTGCATTCTGATTGGTTGAGAAATTCGAATAGAGCACGGTCATGTTTGAATCGTTTTTAGGTTCTAGATAAAATAAATATGAAAAATCAATCATTGATAAATATTGATAATCTTCTATCATTAAATCTGTACCAGAAAGAGGCACTAGTCACGTGGTTTCATTATCATTGATACTAAACCACTCCTAAACCAGCCTTAGCTATGACACCACTGAGCAGTATCCAGTAACTTGAGGACAATTTTGGCCCAAATATGGCTAAAATCACTTGAGAAGTGCTCAAAATGGTGAAAAACTGCATGATTTTGAAAGAATTTTTGGCCAGGTGGGGAGGGGGGGGTTCGCCCGAACGGGCCTGGAGCAGTATCCAATATTTTGAGGTCTGGTTAGATTATGTGATTATCGCATCAAGTGAACATTTTGCTTTTAGTGAAAACCATAATATTTAAAATAAATTATTAAATAATAAATGTATTAAAGAATTTTTATTTTTTTCTGTTTTCCAGTTGAACCAATTGAAAACTCTCAAAGCTCGTGAAAAATCTCTGACGATGAAGCTCCATGGGAATACAGATGGTTTAGCGCAGGATGAGGATGATGGCCTGGAGCAAGCAATGGGTCTAGGTGGCACCGCTAAAGAAACGGAACATGAGCGACGCGTAAGACTTGGAGAAATTACCCCATTTGGATCAAGTGCTTTCTCGCAGGATTCAGGAAAATCAGCATTTTTACAACACTCAAAAAGTACTGGTAACTTAGGAAGTATCGGGAAAGATGCAAAATTGCACAAGTCTAAAAGTTCAGACAATGTGTCAAAAATTTCTGACTTTGAGAAATACCTCATAGATCAAGCTAAAATCTCAAAAAGTATGAAAATTCCTAAAAAGAGGAAATCTAGTTCAGAAGAGACCACAAGAACATTAACTCCAAAGATGGCGAAACTCACAACTGCTAAATCAATGAAAAAGCACAAACGTCCCCCTAAATATTTTGAAGGTTCAGATGTACCCAAGAAATCCAATAGGAAAACTGTGTATAAAACGACAACAGAGCGCAACATACGATCTAAAGTGAGTGCCCGTAAAGATGGCACTTCAAACTTTTTCGACCAGAATGACCATCGAACTCACCAAAAGGAAACAGAATACAAAAACATCAACACAAAATCCCATAAACTTGGTCACAATTTTGACAGTGATCCTGAACTTAGCGATCGCACAAATAGCGATGACTCTGGTCAGGAAAGTGATGAAAGCATAGACCTAGGTGCAATAAAGAATAAATTCAAGAGCAAACGGGATAGGCTGGTGATGCCTTATGAGGGACAGTACGACAGTGAGGGATCAGGGGCAAGTGATGCAGGGTCATCAGGCAGCGAGTATAAACCTGATAAGGAAGCAAGCTCAGATGATGAAGCTTCTGCAACAGGTAAAGAATCTACAGCTATGGAAAATTTTACTTCAGCTTAATATTCACATGATACTGATTTTGATCCAGTGTACTCCTCTAGGGAGAAACCTCTCTCATGTTTGCTGAAAAATTGCAAAATTATATACATTTATTTAAATATCTATACAAAAGAATTACATATGTGCAAATCACTACTGTTTGTGTGCATGCTTTTTAAATGTAACTCAGACTTCAGGATAGTATTTCTAAAAATAGATATATCAGTAATCAATAGAATTCATATGCTACTAGGGTGGGAGGAGTAGTGCATCTTTCGAACTTGTTTACGCATGGCAGACTACAAGTAAACTTAATTATTCATCGTACCTGACCTACCTTAATGCCATAAACTTTTGTTACTAGAAAAGAGTCCAAGGCCTCAACGACCGAAACGAAGCATGAAAGCAAAAGATAGATGGCAGGAGAGTAGCAGTGGGAGGTCATTGGGTGGGTCAGTTAGACGCACCAATAGTAACCAAGGCAGCAATAGTAAAGATGATGGGGATGATGAGATGTACTTGCGGAGGCTGAAGTAAGTGTTATAGAAATTGTCGCAGGTTCCTATAGAGGCTTCAGCAACTCAAAGGGCATTTTGAAATGTCTGTACTTGGACTATTATGGTGCAAATTTCTCAATCATTGGAGATGGCTATTGACTTTGTTAAACCATTAAGAGTGACTTTTCAACTGAATGAGATTTACCAAAGATTCAAGATTTCATATTTTTAGTTTGGATGATCCAGCTTATAAAGTATATCAAGTTTATAAAGTATATTATAATTGACAATAACACAATGTGCTTTTTTAAGGATTCATAAAAAGGCGAAGTTACAGAGGCGACATTCCAGGATATTAGCAGGGGAGGAAGAGGACAGTGATGGGTCGGACTTTGAGATGGACAATGGTTTTAAAGTTCCTGGTCAAATATGGAACAAACTTTACAAGTAAGTTAAACTTGTATTTAGTTTTCAGATATATAAAAATAACACAGATAATGTCATTTAAGATTTTTGAAAATGTCAAAGAAAAAGTAATCGTTGTTAGGGCTTGGCCTGGGTCATTTAGTGTAATTACATGTATATATAAGTAACTTTAAATGAACTAATGAACACCACATTATATCTGCAAGACTGTCATTTGAATATGACTCCATGTACTTAATAACAAAAGAATCTTTTAAGTAATTAATATACATGTTACAGGTACCAGAAAACAGGTGTAAAATGGCTGTGGGAACTTCACGGACAGCAAGCTGGTGGTATTGTAGGAGATGAGATGGGACTAGGTAATCGTTTATCATACATTTATCATATATTTTTCTGGGTCATTTTTTCAATTTGCCATATAAATTTTAAAATGTGAACACCTGTCAACACGTTTGACTGATCCAAACGTGCATTCAGAATTTAGAGAATTTATCATACTCTTCAAAAACACATGTTATTGATGGGTGGCTGATCTTGGGTATTGACCTTTTGAACAAGACCCTGAATGATATGTTCACATACATTCAGGCTTCGAAACACAGTTACATGTGCCCAACAGCCAATGGCAATCACTTTTCACTTTTGGCTATGAACGAGCTGCCTATGTAGGCAATAGATTGAATGCCAACATGTTAAATTGGGCAATTGTGTTATGAACCGTAGTTATGAATCCTGCATTCATTTTAGGTAAAACTATACAGATGATAGCATTCCTGGCTGGGCTGCAGATCAGCAAGCTACGGGAGAAGGGCTGTAGGTTCACAGGTCTCGGTCCAGTGCTCATTGTAACTCCCACCACAGTGATGCACCAGTGGGTGAAGGAATTCCACACATGGTGGCCTCATTCTAGAGTTGCTATTCTACACTCATCAGGTTCCTATAGGTCATCAGAGGTGAGAAAATAATATGCAGGACAGGGTTCTCCCCACTTTGAAATGAGGTGCAATACCTCTATGTGTTTCATAACATCAAAATACTGCCCCATTAATCCAATGTGTCTCATAAATGTTACAATAAAAATAAGAAAATTTACTTATTAATTTTATTAATGCCTTATTTCCTGAGGTTAATGTAGATCTGGATGATGATTATTTTCATGCACTTTTCATGTAATGATTACAATTCATGAAATAGGTAATATTTTTCAAGATTTCTTCTAGATGATAACACATTATAATAGAAAACATGAAAATGAAAATAATTTTAAGAATTAAGTTGAAATGACATTTCAAAAAAAAATTATTTTGAAAGTGTAGAACTCCCTTAATAAAATGATACAGATCTAAGATAACTATTTTGCCATTATAATGTAAGTATTTCACCATACTCAAATCTTGTTTCAATGCATTTTTCAGAGCAACTTAATACATAATATAGTTGCTAAGAATGGTGTCCTGATTACATCATTCAACCATATCGTCATCTACCAGGAGGCGCTGCTGGAGCATGACTGGCATTATGTCGTACTTGATGAAGGTCACAAGATCCGAAATCCCGATGCCCAGGTCACTCTTGCAGCAAAACAATTCCGTACCCCCCACAGGATAATTCTCTCTGGGTCCCCACTACAGAACAACCTCAAAGAACTCTGGTCGTTATTCGATTTTGTATTCCCGGGTAAACTCGGCACACTCCCTGATTTCATGCAGCATTTCTCTGTACCAATCACGCAAGGTGGATACGCTAATGCCTCGACAATACAAGTCCAGACAGCCTATAAATGCGCCTGTGTGCTCAGGGACACTATTAATCCGTACTTGATCCGACGTATGAAAGCTGATGTAAATATCCAACTCCCGAGTAAAAATGAACAAGTGTTGTTTTGTCGGCTAACGCAAGAGCAGGTGGATGTTTACAAGGAGTATCTACAGTCTAGGGAATGTCAACAAATTCTAGCCAAAGAGTTCATGGTAGGTTTACGTAAACAAATGCACCTTAATTTTTGAAGCTCATTAGTATTGTAAGATACCTGTAAGTGGAGTTGGAAAGGCCAGGAAAAATAATAAGGAATGAATATGGATAATTGAAATTATATGATTTATACCATAAGGTATTAAAAATGGAAAAAGAGAATTTGCCTTGCCCGTTGTAAAGAGGCATGGTAAATTATCCTCTTTTCTCTAAGTCTGATACTAAAAGGGCAAGGAAAATTAATGAATTGCTTTGACTTTTATTTCAGATTTTTCCTGGGCTCATCACCCTGCGAAAAATCTGCAATCATCCAGATCTTGTCACTGGGGGTCCTAAAATCTTCAAAGGTGAGGACTATGACAAAAGTGACAGGTCCCTGGATTTTGGCCACTGGAAGAGGGCAGGGAAGATGCTAGTGGTAGAGTCACTGCTGAAGCTATGGAAGAAACAGGGACATAGGGTACTGCTGTTTACTCAGGGAAGACAGGTAAGAGGTGTCATTATATCAATCTTGTCAGAAAAATGACTTACCTGTTCAATTTGAAATTATTCTGTCACCATCAAAAGTGGCGACATATTGTTATTGTGTGGACTCTGTTCAGCAGTTGGTGTTCGGTATCTATAGTGTATGGCAGGTGGTGACATTTTGCGTGTCAATGCCAGTTACAGATGTAAGGAAAGACCAGTGATTATTTTTTAGCATACTGGGTGGCCACTTGGTGTCCATTTTGAATATTTTTCAATTAATAGTGTGATATCACTTTGTGTCTTGTTTAAAATATTTCCGATATGATTTGTTCACATATGAACAAGGTATGTTAGACCTTAGCCAGTCATCCAGGACATTCAATTTTGCTATTGACTTGTATGCATGAAGTTAAAACCCTAATTTTATCACACTCTTGGCCAGGTGTGAAATATCGTGGCAATATTGTTAAATCTGACCTATGTGATTTAGGTGACATGATTGAAATAAATTAAGTTGAACGTTATTGTGATGTTCTAGATGCTGGACATTGTGCAAGGTTTCGTTGAGCAAGAAGGCTACAGCTACATGCGATTGGATGGGGGAACATCAATCAACGCTCGCCAACCTCTCATCCATCGTTTCAACACTGACCCTGACATCTTCGTCTTCCTGTTGACGACTCGGGTGGGAGGCTTAGGGGTCAATCTCACAGGAGCCAATAGGATCATCATCTTTGACCCCGATTGGAACCCCAGCACGGACACCCAGGCGCGGGAAAGATCCTGGAGGATTGGACAGACGAAGCAGGTGACGATTTATCGGCTGATCACTGTTGGAACCATAGAGGAGAAAATCTATCACAGGTAATCCCCTTCTCGTTTTATAATTAATTACATGTACACTGATGCACTCTTCAATGTTTCATTATGAATATTTTGTCTAATGATTTATTTTCACCTTACCATTTGACAGAGGTGGCATAATTTATCAAAGCACTCGGTCAGCACTCAGTTTTATTTTTGTATAGTGTTTGTAAAAAATTGTGAATTGTAATTGCTGCAAGGTGTTGCTATTTTGACAATTATAATGTAATTATGACAACGCACTCATCCTCATACTATTTTTTGACTCACATTGTGAGTCCATGTAATCCATCAATTTATTATTTGCAGACAAATCTTCAAAACATTCCTGGCTAACCGTGTTCTCAAGGACCCGAAACAACGCCGTTTCTTCAAATCAAATGACCTCTTTGAACTCTTTACACTTCAAACCACAGAATCGAAGGGAACAGAAACGAGCGCTATATTTGCCGGCACTGGCTCAAATATCAGGGTACCAAAACCACAAGTGCAGTCGAAAGGGAGTAAATCGAAAACAAGGAATATATTTGATGAAATGAAGGAAAAAGAAAAACAGAAAATTGCTATGGATGATGATGATGATACTGTAGTTGGTGATAAAAGTGAAAACAAAGACGAAGACAATACAGAAACAAATGCTCAACAAGACACACCCGTTGAATCTGCTATTATGAAGGAGCTTGGTATTATAAAAACAGAACAAGGCTCTGAAGACTATATTCAAGTAGAACATGAAATAGCTCAATCTCCATCTGTGGACACACCAGTGAGATCTGACAATGACACTCCACAGGCAATGGACACGCCATTGGGACCAGGAACTCCACAGAGCTCAGACTCAAATGAAAAGTTCATTAAAGTAGAATCTGAAATCTCAAACCCCGAGTCATCCATACCAACCTTTGGAAACATAGACACTTCAAATATTAAACAGGAGCCTGGAATCCAACTACAGAATGAAATTAGTGACTCGCAATTTCAAGACATTCCAGATAAACCCGAAAATTCTTTTGAGGAACCAGTTGAGGAAAAAGACAACCAAAATGATCAGCAAAACATTACAAGTGACAAACCAAATGAACTTGCCGATGATGAAAGTGCAAATACAGAGGAAGATGAACGCAAAGCTAAACTCAGGGAACTAGCCAAGAAATTAAGTCAGAAAATTGGAAGTCAATCAAAAGACAAAACCGGCTCTGTTAAGCCATCAACGAGTAAATATGAAACTTCTAGTCACCATGACAAGCACCATAAGACACATGGTAAACGTCATGACAAGGAACAGCGACACAAAAGCAAGCATAAAGACCGAGGTGAAAAAAAAGATAGACGAAGAGAAAAAGACCATAAGAGGAAGAGAAGACATAAAGATGCAGGTAAAAGACCCATTTAAAATAAATTATTTTTTAATGTAATAATACTGAACACAAGCAAATGTTTGAGATTTCAATATAATGTATAAGTAATTTAGTAGATGATGTATAAAATTAAACTATGAATGCTTTTATATTTTTTCTACATTTGATAAGTGGTCAGATTATTTAAAAAGTATAATTTGATCAGGTGATCATATTTTTTATTTCAAATGAGAGTGAAACAGATGGGACTGGTGAAGCTATAAAAGTATACATAACCTGCAGGCCCGTAGCCAGGGGGGTTCTAGACCCCCCCCCCTCCGGCCAAAAATTCTTTCAAAATCATGCAGTTTTTCACCATTTTGAGCACTTCTCAATTTGGGCCAAATGTGAACCCTCCCTGGAAATTTTTGAAAACTGCACCCCCCTTGACAAATCCTGGCTAAGGGCCTGTCCTGTCATATAAAAGTGGTGCTGCTACTTGTGAAATGTTATTAAAGTATAATGTACTTGGTTGATTTAGAGATTGAAGGTGAAGCAATACATAACCTAGCCAAAGTGAGAGGCTACAAGAATGAGAACTCAGATGAGGAAAAAGCAACTAACAAACAACAGGATGACTTAGTTCTGCACAGTCTCTTTAAGAAACAGGGTGAGTTTGTATCATTATACACGCTAGCTCTTAATCATTTTGTAACAACCACATTGTGGTTGACCATTTTGTGGATAGTGTTCAGCGGTTGGTGTTTGGCATTCAGTGTCTGTAGCAAATGGCTGGTGGTGACATTTTGCATGTTAATGCCTTGTTTTACTTTGCAAAGTGAGACCAAATTAATGTAAAGTGTGCAATGTAACTGACCACCCCCTCCCTGACTATACAAAAGGCTTAAATGCTGAGAGTTTCATATACTGTATAAGTGGTATTTAATCCGAGTGGTTAATTTTCCGAATGGTCAAATTTCATCATTTTCCTAATTTTATTTTTCCTAATGACAAGAAAACTCCCATTGGATAACATTATAAAGACAATATTTCCGACATTTAATTTTCCGAACCTGGCAAAAATTAGGAAATAGGAAAATTAAATGATTAGGCAAAATAACCACTTATACAGTATTACCTATAACTCATTCTAAAGGATTATAATAATGAACTGTAGGAGAAAATTTGAATTTCATCAAATTATTTTGAACATTTGAAATGAAGGTGGAAGGCCCTTTGAACCCATACAAATGTGAGATGGATGATGATTGTGTTGAGTTAGACCTACAAATTTTATATTATCGAGGTCGTGTGTTTTCTAAACATTGTTTTATATCTTTAAGGTATCCATAGTGCATTACAACATGATAACATCATGAACTCCGCAACCGCAGACTACGCTATAGTTGAAGGCGAGGCGGATCGTGTGGCTAAGGAGGCAGCGAGGGCTTTGAAGCAGTCCCGCAGTAGGTGTCTCCCAGCTGCATCGGGGGTCCCTACATGGACGGGAAATTATGGCGAAGCCGGAGCTCCCAAGGCATCCAAGTATGTGATTTACTGTTATTTGCAATATTAGATTTTGACCTCTCTCTGACTAGTAACAAAATATCGAACAAAGCATTTTCAAAATATTATATTTATTAAAGTCCTATTTTTTGTGAGTACAAGTATGAAATCATGGAACTTATGCATTCTTAATATATATCTAGCTTTCATAAATCCTTTAATGGTTGGATATACAATATTTTTTATATTGGCTACAAAAACTGGCACTTATTGCAGTTGTTGTAATCTTTTTACGTTTCTATAAATGCTAGTACTTTTTTTATCGTTTATAATCTCTAGATTCATTGCAGCCTGGGATAAATCTTTCATATATCCATTTTTCTATTGTTAATTCAGCTTTATGTCACTTGAATTGCACTTCTTCAGTTGTAATCTAAGTTATCATTAACACAAGCCCCATGAGGGCAACCACCAGTAGGACCATGATCTTCAAATTCATAGTGTTTCTTATCTGGCGCATACTTATTTTTCCTTTTTGAATTTTTGCAAGAACTGTTATTTCCAATGGTTCATTAGTTCTGCTTCTACTGAATATAGGCATGTTGGGGGATTATTATTCCAATTTTTGGTAGTTCATCCGAGTTACCTTGGACTCTTGGTATAGTTTTTTGTGTTAGTTATTGATTCTTGTGTTAGTTCATGCGAGTGCTCTTGGTTTTTATTTTTTGTAGTCCATGCAAGTGGTCCTGGCATTGATTTTGATTAGTTCATGCAAGTTGTCCTGATATGATACCTGGAAGTCCCAATTATATCTGTAAAGTTGGTTTTTCTTTCTGCTTGCAGATTCAATATTCCATTGTTGAGTACTTGAGAATCACACTTCAAATTTCAGACTCCTTCATGTGAGGTCCTAGTGTATTTCTCAAACCTATTTTATAGTTATTAATAAGTTGACATTTCTGAGTTTGTAACTTTGGATTTGATGTGTAGCAACTTCTGCTTTCTGCACCAAATTAGTTTACATTTATGTGAAGGCTCTTTGGTGTCATATCCAGAGAGAACCCCTATAATTGCTATAACTGTTGTAAAACTCCTGACTTTTTCAGTCTGTTCGGCTATATCGTCAACTCTATCACTTCCTCATCGGAACTAACTGACCTTTGTTCCTACTGCACTTACATATTTGCATATTGATCAATTTAAATTTCAAATCAACCTTACCTCAACTGAACATCTGCTGACCCCCTTTGAAGTCTATCTCTAAATTAAGAACTAATTAAATACTTAGGTAGACAACAAATGGCTATTAATTTAAATGAAACTGGTTCAAAACATCTGTTACTTTTGTCATCGTATTATAATCAGCAAAGCAAAATTGGCTCTGGTTAGTTTTGCTTACAGGCAACTCTAAGGAAGTCACAATTTTAATTTTGTCTAACTGTTAACTTCAAACAATTTTCAAACAACGATTAAAACATAACTCATTATACATTATTGTAATTAATTGTATCATTGTATTTCTGTATCGTAAAAACCTAAATTGGAATAAACTATATTTGAAAAATAAAATAAAACTTCAAACAATTTTAGTGATTGGTGTGCTATTAGTTAATGAAATTCACTTTCGATGTCTACACTTCTTCTAATAACCTATTAATTTGCCTTAATTGTATGGAAATCATCTTGCACAAAGTTTAATATGATATCAGTCATGGGCGTAGCCAGGGGGGGTGCGATGGGTGCGATCGCACCCCCCCCCCCCCATAACATTTGAAAATATGACCATTGGATAGAGGTAGAAAAGAGCTTTAAAATGCTTTTTATTTGAAGCTTCTAGCTCAATTTTGAAGGAAGTTGCATCAATTTTTGTAAAATTCAAAAGAAATCTTAATTTTTTGTGTTGCTTATGGCAAAATCGCACCCCCCCCCCCCCCCCGACCGAAAACTGTGGCAGCTCAAGGCGTGTGTACTGGATCAGTCTATTTTAAGAAATTAGGGGGGTTTTGTAAATGTCAGTGATCTTTAACTATGACATCATGATCTCCGTGGTTGCAACAATTGCTTAATAAAAAATGTTTACGAAAACTTTGAGTAACAACCCCGTCTTGATTTGTTCAATATTATGTCACCAAATAACATTGATGTTGTGACATATTATTATAGTCTCCAACTCTTCTGTGGACTGTTCGATGGTCAGAATTCGACAGTCATTGGTTGGCATCTGTAACAAATGGCAGGTAGTGACATTATGCATATTAATTTTTGTTATTTTATTTTATCATTGTATTCTGTACTTTTATCTTTACAGGCCCCGATTTGGTCAGAAAAAGAATCCTAAACTTGCTGCAACTCCCGATCCTCCCAAACCCACAGTGGCCCCACAACCATCTGCCTCTAAACCAAAAATAAAACACTTTGACGGAACTGCTTCCGGGTCAGTAAAACTGGATGGATTATCAACAAAAACAGAAACGGTGATGTCATCAAAGGAGCTGATGGCGCGGATGAGAGAGCGCAACGAAACTGTGGCGCAAGCAAAGGGTACAAACATTGATAGCGGAAGTGAACATGAAACTGAAACAGTTAGTAATATTGCAGAGGAAGACATTGAACTGATCACAGATATCAGGAATTGTATTGCGTTTCAGTGTAATGTCGATGGACAGGCCACAACTCAGGAAATATTGGACAGGTTTGGCGATCGATTGCCGAAGTCAGAGTCTGCGAAATTCCGAGCAATGTTGAGGCAGTTGTGTTCATTTGGTAGAATAGATGGGATAGGGACTTGGAAGTTGAAATCGGATCTCAGATAGTGTTATTTGGCGATTGGTCCGAGTAAACTTGGTTTCAGTGATCCAAATAATCTTTTGATTCTTTTAGACTCAGTTTTCCTCTTTCTTTAAGTAAGAAAGAGGAAAATTGAACCAAGGGATCGACTAAAGTTTCAAGCTGATGAATTGCTTGGAGTGCTGCACTAGTATCCTGTTATATCGTGTTGAGAGGTTCTCATTTGATTGCTCCAAAAATCAGGTCACAGGTGAATATTGATAGATCATTTATCGCACATGATGATCATGTGTGAATTATTGTATCGTGGACTGAATAATTGCATCATGGATATGTACAATGACTGAGTGATTGTATCCTGGGTTATGAATAATTATATCATGAATATGAGTAATTGATCGTTATATCATATATCATGGTTAATGGTATCATGAATAATTGTATCATAAAGGTAGAGATTAAAAGATGGATTGGATCGAGTGGATTGGATTCATGTAAAAGGTGGATTGGATCAGGAATCTTCAAAATATGGATTTTTAGTTGATCTCCCTCTAAGCAATTTCCTCCAGCCTAAAGTATTTTGTGATTACTTGGGTCCCTTTAAGGAATCAACAAAGCAATGACAAATACATGGACAAACTTCAATTAGTTGATAGATACGCCTAAAGTATTTAACTGCTCTCCCTTTTGTAAATCAACAATAGTAAGACATAATAAACATAGATCTATAGATAAAAGCTGTCACTCAAATTGGCATGTAGTGGTCCCCAGATATTTCTGCCATGTTCTGTTTGAATTGAAAACAGATGATAGGAATCTTCGACTTCAAAACTCTGCCTTATGATTTGTGAAATGTCTGAAATTACCCTTGGAATGAGTAATATTGTGTATCAGGTCACCTTTCTAGCCTACCTAAGCAAAATGATATAACATCTATTATTTGACATTGTGGAAGTGAGGAGAGCATTAATCGTCTTATGGTAGATCAATATAAACTTTTTAAGGAAAATCCATATTTTGAAGAATCCCGATCCAATCCACCTTTTACATGAATCCAATCCACTCGATCCAATCCACCTTTTAATCTTTACCATCATAAACCATGAGAAATTATGCATAATTGAAATTTGAAATTCCATTTTGTTTGATAGAACTATTTTTATATGATGTTTTTTATGAATGTTGCTGTGCATTTAACAGTATAGACTGTTTAGTTATTGTATGTTCTTGTACTAGTGTACAGGTAGTTTATGTACCGGATGTAATTTGTTGTTTTACTGTGAAATATGAACACATTTTTATAATGAGACAAAATAAACAAAAAATGTGATAGTAAAAGTAACCCATTTTGTTAACAATGATTCCCATTTTATTTTTTAAGTACATTTTGACCACAATAAATATCAAAACACAAAGGGTAACATCAACCCTAATACACCAACATTTTACAGTCTCTAGAAATAATGATTGTTTTGTTTTAGGGACAAAGAAATGCAGAATTTGAAATAATCTGCACTGAGAATTTTAATTGAGAAAATATTAAATTACTCCAGTATATATCATCATGCCATTAAGCCAAATCCGCTTCTCTCCATTGAGAAAGTCCGAGATTTTTCATCAAGACCAAGATGGTATTTCTCAAAAATATCAAGAATTATGAGGCATGAAACTTTTGAGACAGCCCCTTTGGGAATTTTTATTCAAGGTATTTTTGTGAAATAGTCACTCTCCGAATAATATGCTGTCCATCAAGCGACGTCATTCTTAGATATTATCATATTTGTAGCCTTGTGTTTTTGCTCCTATACCAGGTATTTTGGATATAACAAAAACAGTGCCATCCTGAAAAATACATATAGAAAGACTATAGACTATTAACAGTTGGTATATATTGTACAATACGATCCAAATGCAATACAGCATATAACATAGTAATAGAATCAGTTTAGTAATACATATGAGTAATACAACTTGTACAACCAGTTGAGTATTATAAATGAGTTATACCAATCAATTGAGCAATACATACGAGAAATGCAAATCAGTTGAGTAATACTTAAGACTAATATCGATCAATTGAGAAATACATATGAGAAATACCAATCAGTTAAGTATTACACATGAGTAATACAATCAATTGGGTAATGCAATCAGTTGGGTAATATACATGAGTAATACCAATCAGTTGAGTAATACACATGAGTAATACAATCAGTTGAGTAATATACATGAGTAATACCAATCAGTTGAGTAATACACATGAGTAATATCTCAATGAAATTCTGCATGTTTAACCCATACATCTATATTGTGTCACTTACCTTTACCATGATGGGCAGAGCAAACCAGAAGTGTGAATTAGGTATTCTCTCTTTTCCTTCCTTCTTCTGTACAAATGTTGTCACAATAAACCCAACGAGAAGATATAAAATGAGGAATGAAACAAACCTGAAGATAGGAATAACATACAAAATAAAGTTCAAATTACTTGGCACAGGTATTATAGTTACAGTAAAACCTGTCTAATTTGAATGCCACTGGGACTGACCAAAAGTGTTCACATTTCAAAGATTTTTAACAAGGGACTCAACAGGAGATCACAAAATTGGAATTGAGGTGTTTCGATAACAGGTTTTACTGTATTATGTAAGGTCTCTAATGCAGCAACTGGGCAGCTTCTGTAGACGCTCAAAGTTGAGAGAAATATGTAGCATAATATATACTGCAGTACAATGTAGATTTTTGGGGTTTGGGCACTGATTACAGAGAATATGATATCTAGATTTATCCCACAATTAATGTGTTATCTGTACAATAACAGCTATTGATATTTCTGATATTATTGAAATCCGTGTGATATTTTCCAGAAAATCGTTTATCAAACTTATATGCGTGTGATATCGTTTATTGTTGGAAATTAGGTCAGATAATTTATTCTCTTTTGAGAAAATTGGTCCGTTAATTTATTCTCTAAGTTTCATTGGTGTATTGAATTACGATTGTGTATATAATTTGATAAGAAGGCTGCTAACTAACGATTAAAAAATGGTATTTATGACGAACAATATCATGTTATTTACTTAAAATAAAGTGTTTCAAATATTCAATTGATATTCTAATTTCTAGTTTATATTGTCTGCCAATGTCCTGGAAATTGGATCAGAACATCACAAGGTGATTGTAATCATGGGATAAACCCAATATCACATAATTTCTCATTCGCTTCGCTCACTCGTGTAGATATTTGCTATCAACTCGGCGATAAAAATGATATCACTCAAAATGATGTGATATTCTGTATTTATTAAATAGCTTCTATTCTACTCACACAATACACAGAATGCTTCCTGCACTCAATCCTCCTCCACCCCCGGGACATGCTTGTGGGGCCCTCAGCACGTAGATCTAAAATACAGGGAGAAGTACTTATGAAATATGTCTGAAGAATAAGTGGAGCTAAAATTCTCTATATAGGTCTATTGCTTTAAAATCAGATCATGTTTGGATTGTAATAAACTGATTTGTAATCATGGGATACTTTTTATACATGTACAGTACATAGTTATTAATTGTACTTACATACAACCATTGATAGGTTGTGTCAGGATTTGTGAGCAATGCATCCACTGAGAACTTCTCTGTGCCTTCACATATTAGAATCACTTTGGTCTGTCTGGAAAATGGGAGATTATTTCATGGGAATTCTCTCTATTGAAAGCCCATGGTTATTTCAATTTTTTAGTTATTTATTTTATAGTTTTTATGGCACATTTTGGATGTTGAATGCCTAACATACACAGCCCAAATTCTGTCTGTCTTCCTTTATAAGTGACATTGACCTTATTACTTCAAAGGAATGCCAAAGGAGAGTCTTACACTTGAACTTACACTTACCTCAAACGCAGGTCTTAAATTTTGCTGATGAACTTTGACTAACAATAATTATCCCATCGAACGAAGTTCGGAGGGATATAGGGAACGCCTCCGTCCGTCCGTACGTCCGTCCGTCCGGGCAATAACTCAAATACCGTTGGCCCGATTTTGTTCATACTTTGTACACATATAACCTATTGGGGTAGAAGTTCTGCTCGAAAGCTGATTTTCAAAATGTCCGCTCATTTCAAAATGGCGGCCATTTTAGTGCCGAATTTAAAGTAATTTAGGTGCAATATGTAAAACTGTAATAGCAATATGTTATAGATGTAAAAAAATTATATAGGACATTAATAAAGCTAGAAATGTAGATATTAAAGAAGCACATGGCAGCCATCTTGAAAAATGGCGGCCTTTACTCGTTACTTTACGATTTTTGCTGTAACTCGAAAAGTAGTGGAGGGATTTTGTTCATATTTGGTATGTGAATACTATAAACATTGCACACTGTCTAAAGACACTTTTGGTAGAAGGTGGCCATCTTAATGTATTTTATAATAATTCGAAAAGTATTGAAGCGATTTTGTTCATATTTGGTATGTGAATACTGTAAGCATGGCACACTGTCTAATGACACTTTTGGTAGAAGGCGGCCATTTTTCAAAATGGCCGCCATTTTAACGTATTTTACTATAACTCAAAAAGTAGTGGAGCGATTTTGTTCATATTTGGTATGTGAATACTATAAGTATGGCAAATGGTCTAATGACACTTTTGGTAGAAGGTGGCCATTTTGAAAAATGCCTGCCATTTTTGCTATATACTTTGTTTGTAAAAATGCCATCCATGGCTGTGCGATGGGATTCGCTACGCTTTGGCGTTGCCGTTGTTCTGGTTCATAATCAAAAACTATGCATTTTATCAACCCATTAGGCCAATCCAAATATAACAAATGAATTTGCTATGATTGTCCAGGCTTACTTTATTTGTGCAAACCTGTCTCTCAAAGGATGGCTTTGTGCAAATAAAGTAAGTCCAAGCATGGAAATGCATGCAGATAATGTGTTAAAGCCTTTGGCCATAATTGTTAACTGTCAGTGATCTATTCAAACTTAGTCTTGCTCAAAGACTGTATCCACCCCCCCACCCCCCCCCATCACCTTCACTCTCTTTACCTGGCAATATACAGAGAGAAGGATAAAGGGGAGGGGGAGTACAGGATCTTTTAAGCAAGACTAATCCAAATTTTTTCACCTGGTTATATCTGAAGAAGTATATGTGATGGTGACAAGGTTATCATCAGGTATGTCCATTGGGGCCAGCTGTTTTAAATCTGAACCTTTCTCAACCGCAAATGTGGCAGTGGTTGGAGTTCCAGCATCATAGTATGAATTTGGTCCAACATTCTCACAGGACTGCAATAAGAGAATTTGTACAGTACAGCAGCAACTGTTGACTCTTCTCTAGGTGGACTCCGCACTGCTTATGGTCAGTGGTGAAATCAAGGTTCACTTTTGAGATACATTTTATGAAACCATTCATACAATTTGTTGTATTCTTTGTCAAAGTAACTCCAATTTCTGGATCTTTTGGACCACCCTGTATTACTTCAATAATATAGCTGTTTAACTATAAAAGTATTTTGGCACACTCTAATGTTCAAATACATACTGCAACACCAGAGCAAGTCCCCTCATCAAAACCATAGCAAGGATTGTAGGAGTATTGCTGGCCAGCTGTGGGACTATCAACATCTTGGTACCTGCAATAAATGAACAGCAGTCAGATGCATAGCCAAGTTAAAAAATGGGTGAGACGAAAAGGAATAGGTGAGGCAAATAAGAATAGGTAAGGCATATATGAATAGGTGAGGCAAATAGGAATAGGTGAGGCATATATGAATAGGTGAGGCAAATAGGAATAAGTGAGGCAAATCAGAATATGTGAGGCAAATAGGAATAGATGAGCCAAATCAGAATAGGCGAGGCCTAAATGAAAAGGTGAGGCAAATAGGAATAAGTGAGGCAAATAAGAATAGGTAAGGCATATATGAATAGGTGAGGCAAATAAGAATAGGTGAGGCAAATAGGAATAGATGAGGCAAATAGGAATATATGAGGCAAATAGGAATAGGTGAGGCATATATGAATAGGAGAGGCAAATAGGAATAGGTGAGGCATATATGAATAGGTGAGGCAAATAGGAATAGGTGAGGCATATATGAATAGGTGAGGCAAATAGGAATAGGTGAGGCAAATGGGAATAAATGAAGCAAATCAGAATATGTGAGGCAAATAGGAATAGGTGAGCCAAATCAGAATAGGCGGGGCCTAAATGAATAGGTGAGGCAAATAAAAATAGGTAAGGCATATATGAATAGGTGGGGCAAATAAAAATATGTGAGGCAAATAGGAATAAGTGAGGCAAATAAGAATAGGTAAGGCATATATATAGGTGAGGCAAATAAGAATAGGTGAGAAAAATAGGAATAGATGAGGCAAATAGGAATAGGTGAGGCATCTATGAATAGGAGAGGCAAATAGGAATAGGTGAGGCATATATGAATAGGTGAGGCAAATAGGAATAGGTGAGGCATATATGAATAGGTGAGGCAAATGGGAATAAATGAGGCAAATCAGAATATGTGAGGCAAATAGGAATAGGTGAGCCAAATCAGAATAGGCGAGGCCTAAATGAATAGGTTGAGGCAAATAAGAATATGTGAGGCAAAGAAGAATAGGTGAGGCAAATAGAAATTGTTATGACTAGTTGAGGCAAATAATAGGTGAGCAAAAATAAGAATAGGTGTGGCAAAACTTGAGAGGATTTTAAACAACAGTGGGACATAATTTAAACAGATTCAGTGAAAGGAAGACTAACAATATTTTTTGTTTTTGGTGAGGCATCTCATAGTCATAGTTAGTTCCATCCTTGGCACTACATATGCACTCCCCTCCATAAGTTTGGCAACTGGATAGGATATCAAAACATGTCAATGATTTGTTCTTTATTTTGTTAGAAAAAATCTATGAATGTTTTTAAATTGTCAAAAATAAATAGACAAGTTTATAAGCAATGAAGAATTACTTACTTTGGTGTATTATCATTATTAGCCAATGGTTTCAGATCTATCACTCCTCCTGTATCAGATTTACATGTACAAGAGTCCGACTGTGTACATGATGAAATTCCATGTGTACCACCCACCAAACACACAAGAAATAACCCCAATAATGACATAGAAGGAAAATCCAACTTCATTTCAAAATGTGACCTTTTACTCCCGTTTTTAAATTTTAGAACAAAAATATGTTAATCTGCGTAAATAAGTACATTTTCAGTCAATAAGTGTTTATCTTTAAGAGATGGCATCTTATAGGTCAAGATGCATGAATTTCAGTAATAAGTTCAAAAATATAATTTTCATGTTACCACCAGAAACGATGGCGTAATGTTATATAAGCTCAAACATTTGTGTGGACAGTGTTTGGCATTCAATGGCCGGTGTTTGGCATCTCTAACAAATGACAGGTGGTGACATTTTGCATGTCAATGCAATGGAGAAGCTTCTAAAATCAAAGTGTTGCTTGTGACTGAGAGATAGACCATTCTGTATTTTGTTATTCATAGCATCTCTCTCACTGCATCACAGATCTAATATGTTTGTTACATATCCATGATATCCAGAAGGGCAGAGATTGAGAAGGCGTGACTTAATATGATGTGGATATCTACTGTTATCATAAATGAGCCTGGCCATAGGAAAACCGGTGTAAAAGAAATTATGGTCCTCCGGGGATTATGGTCCCCCTTCTCAACGGCCCTTACTAGCCCTGATTGTGTATAAGATAATGAGGGAAAGAGTTGTATTTAGGTCACCATATAAATCAATGGAGAGTAGGACCATAATTTGAAAGGACCTCCTACCCTTTTACACCGGTCTTATCACAAAAATTAGAATTGTGCTATAGAGCCAAAAATGTGCCCAAGATTAGAGGAAAATGTGCTAAATTCAAATCCGACTTTTTGGTCTATATATGCAAGGAAATATTGTTAAGACTTAAGCCATGGCTCATTTGAAAGGTCTCTTTGTGCTTTTTAATAAAAACAAAAATCAAAACATTGAAAAAATCTGTTATAAGACCCCTTTTCCTGTGGCCTGGCTCAAATGTTGAATAATTTATTTATACTTTTAAAATGTGCATCTAGCCATTGAATATCCAAGGGGGGCGGGGGGCAGAGGGGGAGGTGGGGTGGGGTGGGGATCCCGAAGGAGAGCAAGTGTTAGTCCCCCAGAAACATTGACTATATCAAGGAGCTATGTGATGATGTCTGGGCACTTGGGCACTTAAAAAGTGTCTGAGACAATACATAAAATAAATTCAGAACTTTTCCATTGTATTGAGGGGGTGTGAGGGGTGGCCCACTCCCTCTAGAAAATTGTACCATTTTAAGATGCTATTTGGTGCTTTCTGGGCAATGTAAAAGTGTATGAGACGATGAAAAAAAATTTCAAAAAAAAAATTCAAAATTAAAAAGGGGGGTGCAGTCGCACCCATCGCACCCCCCCCCCCCCCCCCCAATCTGATGGCCCTGTGTACGCCTAGCTATAACTTTATCACGGTGTTATAGCATGACGGCTACGTCAAGGCGATTTGCAGAATTTTGCGGTAACGATAACAATAAATGGCAGATGGGAAAGGCAGCATGTCATGGTTATAAAGACTGGGTCAAATTTCCACACTTCTTCTAATAACCTATTAATTTGCCTTAATTGTATGTGGGAATCATCTTGCACAAAGTTTAATATGATATCAGTATTTTGTTTAAAGGGTTACGATAAGCTTCCTATATAAAAACAATATCGCAGCTCAACGGGCGTGTACTGGATCAGTCTATTTTAAGAAATTATGGGGATTTTGTAAATGTCAGTGATCTTTAACTATGACATCATGATCTCCGTGGTTGCAACAATTGCTTTATAAGAAATGTTTACGAAAACTTTGAGTAACAACCCCGTCCTCGTCTTATTTTCAATATTATGTCACCACATAATATTGATGTTGTGACATATTATTATAGTCTCCAACTCTTCTGTGGACTGTGTTCGATGGTTGGAATTCGACAGTCAGTGGTTGGCATCTGTAACAAATGGCAGGTTGTGACATTATGCATATTAATGCCTTGTTATTTTATTTTATGATTGTATTCTGAACTTTTATCGTTACAGGCCTCGATTTGGTCAGAAAAAGAACCCTAAACTTGCCGCAACTCCCGATCCTCCAAAACCCACAGTGGCCCCACAACCATCTGCCCCTAAACCAAAAATGAAACACTTTGACGGAACTGCTTCCGGGTCAGTTAAACTTGATGGATTATCAACAAAAACAGAAACGGTGATGTCATCAAAGGAGCTGATGGCGCGAATGAGAGAGCGCAACGAAACTGTTGCGCAAGCAAAGGGCACAAGCATTGATAGCGGAAGTGAACATGAAACTGAAACAGTTAGTAATATTGCAGAGGAAGACATTGAACTGATCACAGATATCAGAAATTGTATTGCGTTTCAGTGTAATGTCGATGGACAGGCGACAACTCAGGAAATATTAGACAGGTTTGGCGATCGATTGCCGAAGTCAGAGTCCGCGAAATTCCGAGCAATGTTGAGGCAGTTGTGTTCATTTGGTAGAATAGATGGGATAGGGACTTGGAAGTTGAAATCGGATCTCAGATAGTGTTATTTGGTGATTGGTCCAAGAAAATTTGGTTTCAGTGATCCAAATAATCATTTGGTTCTTCTAGACTCAGTTTTCCTCTTTCTTTAAGGAAGAAAGAGGAAAATTGAACCAAGGGATCGACTAAAGTTTCAAGCTGATGAATTTCTTGGGGTGCTGCAATAGCGTCCTATTATATTGTGTTGATCCATTCTCATTTGATTGCTCCAAAATAAGGTCACAGGTGAATATTGATAGATCATTTATCGCCAATGATGTATCATGTGTGAATTATTGTATCGTGGACTGAATAATTGCATCATGGATATGTACAATGACTGAGTGATTGTATCATGGGTTATGAATAATTATATCATGAATATGAGTAATTGATCGTTATATCATATATCATGGTTAATGGTATCATGAATAATTGTATCATAAACCATGAGAAATTATGCATAATTGAAATTTGAAATACCATTTTGTTTGATAGAACTATTTTTATATGATGTTTTTTATGAATGTTGCTGTGCATTTAACAGTATAGACTGTTTAGTTATTGTATGTTCTTGTACTAGTGTACAGGTGCTTTAGATACCGTATGTAATTTGTTGTTTTACTGTGAAATATGTACACATTTTTATAATGAGACAAAATAAACAAAAAATGTGATAGTAGTAGTAATCCATTATGTTAACAATGATTCCCATTTTATTTTTAAAGTACATTTTGACAACAACAAATATCAAAACACAAAGGGTAACATCAACCCTAATACACCAACGTTTTACAGTCTCTAGAAATAATGATTGTTTTGTTTTAGGGACAAAGAAATGCAGAATTTGAAATAATCTGCACTGAGAATTCTAATTGAGAAAAATATTAAATTACTCTAGTATATTGATCATCATGTCTTTAAGCCAAATCCCCTTCTCTCCATTGAGTGAGACCCAAGATTTTTCATCAAGACCAAGATGGTATTTCTCAAAAATATCAAGAATTATGAGGCATGAAACTTTTGAGACAGCCCATTGGGAATTGTTATTCGAGGTATTTTTGTGAAACGGTCACTCAAATGAATATGCCGTCCATCAAGTGAATTCATTCTTAGATATTATCATATTTGTAGCCTTGTGTTTTTGCTCCTATTCCAGGTATTTTGGATATAACAAAAACAGTTCCATCCTGAAAAATAAATATAGAGAGACTATCATGGGCGTAGGGCTATATTTTGAGTTGGTACGCACACGCGGGGGGTCCGGGGGTATGCTTCCCCGGGAAACTTTTTTCAAGGACGTTATTTGATGGAATCTAATCGTTTTTATCAACTTTAAATGTTGACAATGGTAAAAATACAGATACGGTAGGAAGCATCAAATAAATTCGCAAATAAATTAATGCATTTTAACACATTTTTATTTTTTTCAAATTCATTTGGTACGCCCGTGCGTATTTTGCGTAATAGGCGCTACGCCCATGACTATAGACTATTAACAGTTGGTATATATTGTACAATACGATTCAAATGCAATACAGCATATAACATAGTAATAGAATCAGTTTAGTAATACATATGAGTAATACAACTTGTACAACCAGTTGAGTATCATAAATGAGTTATACCAATCAATTGAGCAATACATACGAGAAATGCAAATCAGTTGAGTAATACTTAAGACTAATATCGATCAATTGAGAAATACATATGAGAAATACCAATCAGTTAAGTATTACACATGAGTAATACAATCAGTTGGGTAATGCAATCAGTTGGGTAATATACATGAGTAATACCAATCAGTTGAGTAATATACATGAGTAATACCAATCAGTTGAGTAATACACATGAGTAATACAATCAATTGGGTAATGCAATCAGTTGGGTAGTATACATGAGTAATACCAATCAGTTGAGTAATATACATGAGTAATACCAATCAGTTGAGTAATACACATGAGTAATATCAATCAGTTGAGTAATATACATGAGTAATACCAATCAGTTGAGTAATACACAATGAAATTCTGCATGTTTAACCCATACATCTATATTGTGTCACTTACCTTTACCATGATGGGCAGAGCAAACCAGAAGTGTGAATTAGGTATTCTCTCCTTTCCTTCCTTCTTCTGTACAAATGTTGTCACAATAAAGCCAATGAGGAGATACAACACAAGGAAAGAGACAAACCTGAAGATAGGAATAACATACAAAATAAAGTTCAAATTACTTGGCACAGGTGTTATAGTTACAGTAAAACCTGTCTAATTTGAATGACACTGGGACTGACCAAAAGTGTTCACATTTCAAATATTTTTAACAAGGGACTCAACAGGAGATCACAAAATTGGAATTGAGGTAAAGACCTGTTATCGAAACACTTTAATATGAACACTGTTCATATTAATGAACACTGTGCATATTAAGGTGTTTCGATAACAGGTTTTACTGTATTATGTAAGGTCTCTAATGCAGCAACTGGGCAGCTGCTGTAGACGCTCAAAGTTGAGAGAAATATGCAGCGTAATATATACTGCAGTACAATGTAGATTTTTGGGGTTTGGGCACTGATTACAGAGAATATGATTTCTAGATTTATTAAATAACTTCTATTCTTTTTATTCTACTCACACAATACACAGAATGCTTCCTGCACTCAATCCTCCTCCACCCCCGGGACATGCTTGTGGGGCCCTCAGCACGTAGATCTAAAATACAGGGAGAAATAAATAATGTCTGAGGAATAAGTGGAGCTAAAATTCTCTATATAGGTCTATTGCTTTAAAATCAGATCATGTTTGGATTGTAATAAACTGATTTGTAATCATGGGATACTTTTTATACATGTACCAGGTCGTTCAATAAGTTCTCATAATTTTGCTCTCATTTTAAGAGTTTTTTATATTTTTCCATGAAAATTTCACAGACGATGCAGAATGTATCTGTGTAACAACTCTGCAAAGATTATGTATTAATTCTAATGGTTGTGGAAATGGCGGTTGCTATAGTAACGTCAAAAATCGGTAGGCGGGGCAACTTTATTTGATCGTAAAATCCATGGATGTAGTTAGATTTCATCTTGAAATGTCATATGTTTTATCTGAAAGATTTGCAACCATAGAAACAGGTTTTGACATCAGTGTGAAAGATGCAACTTTTCTGAGTATAGTTATTACTGTGACATCACATAAAAAGGTATGACATCACAGAAAAGGTTTCAATAGAGAGACCCAAGATGGCAGCTGACTGTGGTCTTGTGAAAAGTCAAGATGAAATTCAAATTCAAATCCGTAGTGTGATAAGATTTTGTGTGTTATCCAAGAAATCAAGAGGAGAAACAATAAAAGCAGTTCAAGATATTTATGGAAAGGAGTTAATGAGCACACCTACCATATACCAATGGTATCAAAGGTTTGGTTCAGAGGGAAGAAAATCTGTGATGGATGAAAAACGGACTGGCAGACCGGTAAAAGTCACCAACCCAAAGGCTGTTGAAAGAGTTAAGACAGTTCTAGATGATGATCGCCGCATCTCTGTACGGGAACTTAGTGAGAATGTGAACATAAGTATAGGTAGAACACACTTCATTCTGAAAGAGAAGCTTAAAATGAACCTCATGTGTGCTAAATGGGTGCCAAAGGAGTTAACTAGTGACCAGAGAGCCCGCAGAGTTGAGGTTTCCCAAGAATTTCTAAGACGATACCAAGATGAAGGGGATAGTTTTCTCCAACGAATTATCACATGCGACGAGGTGTACGTCAGCTATTATGAGCCCCTTGGGAAGAGAGCATCAAGTGGTTGGAGAACTAAGAACTCACCTACTCCCATTTCAACCCTGGCAAAACTGACCAAAAATGACGGCAAGGTGATGTTCATTGTGTTTTTGGATAGCTCTGGGGTGCTGCTTACGCATGCAATTCCTGATGGTCAGAGAATAAACAAGGACTATTATGCAATGGTCAGCTTATTCATTATTAATAAATTAATCAATATAAGAGTAAAAACATTAAATCAAATCAAATTTAAAATCAGATTTGAACTATAAAAATGGTTAAGTACAAATGTTAAAGGCATTAGTATCCTATCCTACTGACTATTTCAGGTTCTCAAGAGGCATCTCAAACGGGCCTTCTCAAAGAAACGCCCCCTCCTAGAGTTGGCGACAAGAATATTTCATCAGGGGGTCGTTTCCAAAAATGTCGTAGACTTACGACATCGTAACTTCAATTGTGTTTTCACGACAAGTAAAAAAGTCCCGTTTCCAGAAATTTGTCGTAAACCTACGACAAACTACCATGTCGTACACCTGTCGTAGAAAGACAATAGCTATCGTGTGAAACCCACGACACCCCCATGGGGTGTCGTAAGGTTGTCGTAGAGCAATTTTTGAGTTATTTGTGGAGTTTACATTATCTGATAGATTATGTCACAATTTACGTAGGCTTATACAACGCAAGCACTTGACAGACAGATAGCTGAAGAAATTGCGGTTTTCACGCCCTTCAAAACATACTTAAATGGGCATTTCTATGCATTGCAAAATAGAGAAACTGAAGTTCGTTAACGGCATCATCGTTCACATGGTTTTCTCTTTCTGATTTAGGAATATAAGGGAAACGAAACATCATATTATTTCTCATGAAGGTAGATTGAGTTGGGTTGATTTAAAAAAAGGAACATAACAATTTTAAGATTGTGCAAATCAAAAATAAACATGTTTTCTCTAAATGGTGTATTGAATAATTATAATTTAAAACATTAACGTTTCCCGCCTCTTTAGATTGTCTTTTTTAACAAATGAGGCAGGGTGAGAAATATTATTGTTTTACCAAAAGTCAGATCACCATCAATTATTCATCGCATTATTTCCTTTCTTGAGTTGCAAATATGCATATCGACAAACTATCTACATCCACTTTATTCTGAAATCATGTAAATTTGCCTCCGGTAAACTGTCTAGCTACCTACACCGGAACACCCTGAGAACGGCACCACCTCCCCACCTTCGCACTTTTTAACAATGGGAAAAAATTCAAATTTTCTCGAAAAACTTAAGTTGATCGAATTTCAACAAGTACATCATGTGGGATAGTATTGCTTGAATCCATGTTCAAAAGAAAGAAAATGGGTTCTTAAACAGGACATTAAAGCTTGACTAAGGCCTTTTTGAATTTTTGGGTTAGTTCTAAAGACCGAAACTAGAGTATTCCAATGCAGTTTGGAACCAGACACAACTAAAAATAGTTATAACTATCACAGCCATAGTTTATAAATGTATTTAATATGTGTAATGGAGTCATACCATAAGGATTCAATGTTTCTAGCGTTGCATTACCATGATTAAATGTTACTGTTCTCATCCCGATTGTAAAGCACATTTGACCCACATTTACCGTTGCCATTTACAGTATCCCTTGTCGTGTGTCATATTTTGATCATTAAAATTAAGGCTTTATTTCGATGGTAGAGCATAATAAACTATACGATGAGTAGGAAAAGACTTTGATTTAAATCTAGGTGCTCTATTAAACATGCGGTTTATAGATGAAAATTAAATCGAATATGAACCTGTGGCCGCCATTTGTGATACAGGTATCTAACTTTACCGTTGTCAGGGTGTTCCGGTGTGGCCGTAGTTTTTTGCTTCAAACCAGTTAATTTGTTCAACGTACAGAAAACTATGCGACTGTACTTTTAACTCTCGATGGTAAGCCATTTGTTATACCATAGAGACGCGTACGACAAAATGATTAAAGATATTCTCCTCACATATGAACGAATCCACTAAACGAAGCCTTGCAAATTGGGTAAATTGTAAATTCAGGTAATTGGGAACGTTAATATACGAATCTAAGCGCAACTTTGCGCATGCTTCCGAAGCCGTCCGAAGCTATCCGAAGGGATATTTACACATACGAACACCCCGACGATGCACAACGTATACTAACTGGAACGAATTTTACCCAATTCCTATTCGCAAGAATGCGTTTAGTGGATTCGTTCATATGTGAGGGGTCCTTTAGAGTTGATTGCATGAAAACCTTCTTTGAAAATTTGATTTTCGAAAAGACTAGTCTCGATTTGGAGAAAGAATCTACTGCACGTTACGCCTGCTTTGGACAATTTGATGATATGTTTACATATTGTAGATTTAAACGTCTTCTTTTGGATATCCAATTTATTTAATTTTAGGTGATATTTCTATATTTTTCATAAAAAAAGATTAGCCCAGAGACTGACCAAACCAAACCAAGACCTGTCCTTTGCATGAAAGTCCATGAAGAACCTCTAAAAATTGAAACGGTTACATGATTTTCTTTATCTCATCTTAATTTCGATAAAACGGCTATGTTCTTTTCTAAATGAAATTATAGTAATCATCAGTTATGAAACGTAAAAACAAACTTTGATATAATTAAAGTTAAACGGTTATGTGCGGACGTCAGTGAACACACTCCCGGTTCTATAACAGATTTAAATATTTATTTTATCGATCAGAAAATATTTATTTGCCCGATTTTATATTTTAAACGTGGTATATAACGGGTGTTTCAAAAAAGTGAGACACTTTTTGACAGGTATTTTCTCAGCAATAGACAAGTTGAATTCTTTAAAAAAAATTACTAAGGAACTATAGGGTATCCACCCCATGCAGACAAATCGACTAAATTACATTCGTAAGATGTGAGACTCGACATTCATCAGGAAACTTGAAATAATTTGGCACCCATGGAGCAAATTAATTTTTACTGATTAATAAATGGTGAATGTCAGCCAAATTAATTTTTATAAGTATGAGAATAGCACAATGTCTTGATATTTCAAGGTAACGTCGTTTGAAAAGTAATGGCGGTGATTGAAAAAACGATTTAAAAACAAAACCGCAACGAAATATTTGTAGATTTCTTTGAAGAACTAAGAAACATACATCTGATTCACATATCGAATTTTCCGAAACAGAAAAAAACATGTGTAAATTGTAAGGCCTGAAGGTCCGATTCCCCATGGTAGCATTAACATTGGTCTCGTATTTGTCATACAATCAATATTTGAAACGCAACTGTTATTCGAACTTATGATCGAACATTAGTATATTGCTTTATAGCTTTGAAGTACACATCATACTTATGTCAGATCATTAGTTCGAATAATAGTTGTGTTTCAAATATTAACTGTATGACATACACGAGACCAATGTACCAGGGGGAATTGAACCTGCAGGCCTTACTATCTATATATGTTTTTTTTCTTTGAAAAATTCGATGTGATGTATATTTATTAGTTTTTAATGAAATCTACAAATATTTCGTTGCGGTTTTATCTTTACATCGTACTTTCAATCATCGGCATCACTATTCAAACGAGTTACCTTGAAATATCAAGACGTCGAGCTATTCTCATACTTATAGAACTCAATGTGACTGTCATTCACCATTTATATTTTAGCAGTAAAAAATTGATTTGCTTCATGGGTGGCAAAATGTTTCTATTTCCCGGTGAATGTCGAGTCTCGCATCATACGAATGTAATTTTAGGCGATCTGTCTGCATTGGGTGGTATCAGTAGCTAGTGCTATGAATATGAGGAGTGTTGTCAAATTGAATATCAACTAAATATCCACGGAGTCACTAATATCAGTGTGAAAGAAGCAATTTTTCCAATCAAAAATGCTTTTGTGTGTTTCTCCCATTAATGATATCGTTTCCCATGACATACTTATGCCGTCCTTTAATGCATGTTGGATGTAGTCTATTTACAGTGACATGACTCCAACTCTTACCCTTACTATTCCTTTACGATTCTGGGATTCATCTTCCACCCCATCCTTTCACCTTGTCGAAACAATTTGCAATCGTAGCCGTTTCGCTATATCTTTTCAGAAAAAGATTCAGCAAAAATATTTTTGTATAGAAAATTGAATTGTCTAATTTTTTTGTACACTAAGTGTTAGTTTATTTGATGACTACTAAAGTAAGTTACAGCGCTTCAAAGTCATTTTTGAAAATAATTTTTCGCCTCTTGTGTTATTTCAATTGGAGAGGTTTTTGAACAATTTTGACTTTAAAGCCCTATAACTTTGTTGAACCTGAAGAAACATATCAATTTTTTGTTAAATAAAGTTAGCAATTTCAATTGCCTGCCTAACTCATATTTTTGCAAGAACTCAGATGGATGGATATTCTGTCATATGACTTGCGACAAACCTACCATTTCCCATTGGTTAACATGGGAATGTCGATTTTCAAAAATTCATTAAATTTATCATCAGTTTTCGACTTATGGTAATTGAGGAAAAAATTCTTTTTTTGAGTTGCTTGATGTAAAAATTATCAATGTTGACCGTTTACTAAGACGGGCCTACGGGGACGGGCCTACTATACAACTAAAATTTTAAATAAGAATGTCACGTGACGTTCGTATCACTTATCGTGGAACTTGTCGTGAATTGCGAATTTCTACGACAGACTTACGATTTTTATGGAAACGGATCTGTCGTAAGTCTACGACAGTCGTAAGTTTGTCGTAACTTTCATCATTCCTACGACTGTCGTGGAGTTACGATATCGTAAGTCAACGACATTTTTGGAAACGACCCCCAGGATAATGCCCCGTGTCACCGGGCAGAACTTGTACTGAACACCATAGGAGAACTCGGAATGGAAGTTCTCCCACAGGCACCATATTCACCTGATGAAGCCCCATGCGACTTTGGTGTGTTTGGCCCAATGAAAGATGAGCTGAGAGGTTTTCGATTTGCATCGACAGAAGATTTGCAGAATGCAGTCCAAAATGCTCTCAGAGCTAGATTTCCTGATGGATTCCATAAAATCTTCCAGGATTGGGTAGAACGTCATCGAAAGTGTGTCGCATCCAATGGACATTATTTTGAGCATTTAAAGTAGGAATAGAAACATTTACCCCATACTATTTCATGGGATAAATGGGACTACATGACATTAAAACACTTGTTACTCTCCACAATGTTGAACTGAATTATATGCCACTATGACGTCAAATAATCTGCCCCGCCTACCCATTTTTCATGTTACTATAACAACCGCCATTTTCACGACCATTAGAATTAAAACTTAATTTTTGCAGGGTTGTTACACAGATACATTCTGCATCGTCTGTGAAATTTTCATGGAAAAATATAAAAAACTCTTAAAATGAGAGCAAAATTATGAGAACTTATTGAACGACCTGGTACAGTACATAGTTATTAATTGTACTTACATACAACCACTGATAGGTCGTGTCAGGATTTGTGAGCAATGCATCCACTGAGAACTTCTCTGTGCCTTCACATATTAGAATCACTTTGGTCTGTCTGGAAAATGGGAGATTATTTCATGGGAATTCTCTCTATTGAAAGCCCATGGTTATTTCAATTTTTTAGTTATTTATTTTATAGTTTTTATGGCACATTTTGGACGTTGAATGCCTAACATGCAGAGCCCAAATTCTGTCTATCTTCCTTTATAAGTGACATTGACCTTATTTCTTCAAAGGAATGCCAAAGAAGAGTCTTACACTTGAACTTACACTTACCTCAAACGCAGGTCTTAAATTTTGCTGATGAACTTTGACTAACAATAATTCATAACCAAAAACTATGCATTTTATCAACCCATTAGGCCAATCCAAATATAACAAATGAATTTGCTATGATTGTCCATGCTTACTTTATTTGCGCAAATCCGTCTCTCAAAAGATGGCTTTCTGCAAATAATGCAAGTCCAAGCATGGAAATGCATGCAAATAAATGTGTTAAAGCCTTTGGCCATAATTGTTAAATTGTTAAATTTTTCACCTGGTTATATCTGAAGAAGTATATGTGATGGTGACAAGGTTATCATCAGGTATGTCCATTGGGGCCAGCTGTTTTAAATCTGAACCTTTCTCAACTGCAAATGTGGCAGTGGTTGGAGTTCCAGCATCAAAGTATGAATTTGATCCAACATTCTCACAGGACTGAAATAAGAGAATTTGTACAGTACAGCAGCAACTGTTGACTCTTCTCTAGGTGGACTCTGCACTTAGTCCTGCGGAATCGATGGAGCTGGTTGCTTTCTAGGATGTATGCTATGTCTTTGTATTTTCTTCATCTATATGTTATTGACTTTCAAAATCAGAACTGTGCCGGTTTGGCACTGGTGGGCAAAATTTTTTACAGCCTTGTATAGGTGGCGCCCCCTATGAAATACCCTTTTATTAAGGTATTTTTTATTAAATGATCTTGAGCAGAGTCTTTAACTCAAGCCACCTAGTATAACATGTTATATATCCTTAATAGCATGTCTATTTTTTTCCTTACCTAAAATCTCATATTTACAGAGAACTGGTCATTTATCCCCCCTGATATCACATATATTCCAAGGGGTCACTATGTTTTGAAGGCATAAAATTTAAACAAAGCGTAATTGTGATCTCAAATTATTCATAGATATGACTTGATACATGTTTGGGATGGTGTTAAAATAAAAAGCCTCTGTCTTAAATATCTTAAGAGAAAAAAATTATTTGTTACAGTAAATCCTAATATTAAACGATATGCAATTTGTAAAAAGGTTATATTCAAAAGTCTATTTTGACTAAATTATCCTTAACACCATCATGAATTTAAATACATTTTATTATATGAAGTAACTATTTTAATTCTAACACATGAAAACAGAAATCAAGGATTGAGCACTAATTGTTTAGTATATAACCTATGGTCATGCCACCATATTTGAAGGGGGGAGGGGGTTATGTTACCGGACATTGTGCCATTGAGTAGATGTTAACATGGAATACTTATTAACTTCATACAGGCAAGGCTAGATAGTTACTGGATGATGAAAGGGTTTGAAATACTGACCATAAAAATTTGTGCCTATCATTAATAAATTAATTTACCATCCTTTGTCAAAGATATTGTAGCTCATTGAGTGTCAGCTTTTATTCCGTTAACAAGGGTATCATTTTTGGTCTCTTTATCCATACTTCTTGGACAGCTTACAGAACAATTCCATCATCGAGATCATCATCATTTGTTTCATTGGTGACTGTGACTATTAGTCTGGTATGTTTACGCAACTCTCTTCACCTTTGCAAAGGCAAAATAAACTGCAGGACAAAGTAGTCTTACAGCACAGACAACAATCTATACCACAAATGATATCATTGCTGGCACACTTCTCACGTGTACAAAGTATCATCTTTAGCACTGAGTCTGGTGCACACAAAACATTTGGTGGAAGTTTAACTGACACTAACATGTTGTTGACAATATCCATTTGCCAGCCATTCTCCCAGTGGTTGCAACTTAGGAGGTAAGGGTTGGGCTGCATGTTTACACAGGGATGTTTGTAGATGAGCATGTTTCCTCAAAGGCTTTGTTTGAAGGTGGCAATGATTGTACTTCTGGCAGCATTTCTCTTGGTCCACACAGCATATCTAACATCAGATGACTGGATTGATACCATAACATGCTGCTGTGAATTTAGTAGCCTGTGTCTTTCCATCAGATATTGGTATGTAGTCTTCTCCAATCCAGCTTAAAGAAGCATTTCAAGTCTGGTGTTAACTGCTTTAGTCTTGCCTATGCGGTAAAGACTAGATGTTGTGTCACAGTCTGTCAGGCTGTGGGCAGCAAGAAGTTGTGAGGTGACATTTTTGTTGGAAGTTGACACAGACTCCATAGTAACATAAGCAATTAGATGGTGTTTTTCATAGTAGTGAAGCAATAGGATTTAGACACTAGTGTCGTCACATACTACATTTACTTCCAGTTTTGCTGTTCATAACATACTTGTTTGTTGATGTTTTCAGGTTACCATGGGTGCCATTGACCTAGCTCAAATGACTTGATAGTTTTCATATCAACATTGGCTTTGGAAGGGGGAGGGCGCTTGGGGTGACCGCCCCCTCCCTTTTCCAGATTTTTTTTAGGCTAGAATTTGAAAACTCTTGAGAGCTAATTAAAGTCAAATGATACTATACCATTATTTAGTGTATATCAAGCATAGAAGATCTCATTTATCATTAATATATTTACATATGTTATTCTGTACCATTGTTTCTAAAGAACCCATTCAGTATGTAAATACTTTGGAGAATAAGAGCAAAATGTATATTTTATTTAGTAAACTTCAAAGTAGCTCGTTTTCTTGAAACACAATTTTCTCTTGTTTTTATTATTGGGAATGTTGTGCTGAGATGTTCATAATGCATCAGAGAGGATCTAAATCTGAACATTTTCTGAGGGCATGCCCCCCCCCCCCCCAATCCACGCTTCACGCACAATCCATCCATGTCCAAAAGTCAACCCCCTCCCTTGCGAAATCCTTCTGACGCCCCTGTATCAAGTTGCCGGTTTATTACCAGGCTCAAACTCTAGAGTACGAGGCTCGATCAGAAAGCAAGTAACCAACTGCTCTTTTTTCTTCATACTTTATTCAATTTCATTGAAATTTTCACAGATAATGTAGAAAATATTAACCTATTAAACAAGACCAAGGATAATGGGTTAGCATCAATTCCATTGTTATTGCTGTTGCTATGGTGACAATTGTTTTGGGTAGGTGGGGCACCCTGTTTTAAGTCGTGTTTGAAGATAATTTATTGAGTTTTTCTACATGTTTTTCTACATGCTCCAAAGATATCAAATTTACATGTTAGACTACATTTTAACTCATAGTCTTTCAAATTAATCACCACCAAAGTCAATGCAGATGAGGCAATGTTTCACTGTTTTACTCTGTCCTTAAACATGTCATCATTCAATGACTGCAAACTGCCATTGAACGCTTAATGATAGCTACTGTTATTGATGTCCCGTTTAAAACCCCTATTCTAACTTTCTAAAATGAATTCCAGCAATATTACCCAACAGGAATCTACTTATTGAGATTATTTAGTTCTTCTGAGAAATTGAGGATTTCAGCAAGGGTGCATTGACTTAACATGGGGACATACCTGATGGTATCCTCACTCTAAGTCAATGGTCTCAGAAGAACAGTTGATTGAGTCTAAATAATTAGATTCATGTGGGATAGTATTGCTATAATCCATTTTCAAAGGTAAGAATAGGGGTTCTTAAACAGGACATTGGGCTTGCTTTGCTTTGTTGGTACTAATAAATGGTCTCTATCATCATATTTAACCAGATTCCATTCTAAATGGGATGATGGGTGATATGCTGTCCTTGGAGAAACAACATTCATCAACAACATTCTGTGGAAATCTCTCCATGTCTCGTAGACAGAACAGTCCTTACTAGTTATATTGTCATGCAGCAAAGAAATATGGAAGCATAGATGGGTCAACAGCAGCCAAATGGAGCAGCCAGTTGCCTTCCCTTTCAGCTCTAACAAGTTGCACCATGATAAATACTAGCATTTGTAGTTTTTCTTTCTGACAATTTAGAGTTAAGAACATCTATGAGTTCCTGGTAGCTGTTTACCTGATGAATTACTTGCCTCAAAAGTTCTTCAACAAGGAGTCTCAATGCTTGAACATTGTTAGGGTAATTCTTGCCTGTTAATCTTGGGTTTCCCCAGCAAATTGGTTATCTCTACTTTTCAACTGTCTGACATTAGGATGCCGACACAACCAACAAAACTCATGAGCATGTAATTGACCCAGAGCCTGTTGATGAATGTACAGGGTGGTCAAAAAATGGAAACCCTACATTTTCCATATATCTTTGTCATTCTCGAAAATTACTCCCTGATATTTCACACATTTGTACACCATTCAATTTCCTACCACTCTACCATATTTCATGACCATCAGACTGATAGTCACAATTTACAGTACTTTGAATAACATGCCTCAGGTTTGGCCATCATCACGCCGTAGACAAAACAGCACAGTTATCGATGACCCGAATGCATTCCTCAGCAGGTATGGGGACATTTTAGAATACGAGTACAGGTTTCCCAACAGCGCAAAAGTGGCCACTGGGGTATGTTCTTTAATGTGCTGTAAAAGTGTGACTTTAATCAATCATGAAATTCAGTAGGCTGGTAGCAAATTGAATGATGTACAAATGTGTAAAATATCAGGGGGTTATTTTTTAAAATGACAAAGATATGAGGAAAATGGTGTAAGGGTTTCCATTTTTTGACCACCCTGTATAATAAAGGTTGTTGGGGTCCAGAACATGACACCAGTGGCTACTTTGTACAACTGCTGGTGCGTTATCAAAATTGTGTAATCTTGCTTATATGTTTGGGTCAACTCCTTTGCCTGATGCGTGATGGTTAACATTGTGCTTTGGTCCACTGGCTTAACATCAAGAAGTGGGCTGTAGGCAAGTTTTATTGCAGGTTTAATGATGGCGCCACTAGTCCTAGCTAACCTAGTATTGTAGCCCCTGAATGATGGTGTCCCTGGTACAGATGTAACACTTCCAATAAATGGTCTAAGATTTAACCCTTATACAACAGGGATGACCTACTTACACTGTCAACAATGAGTTTCTTTCACATTTTAAACGTGTCATCTACCCCCCCCCCTCCCCCTATAAAAGGGTATACATTATAATTTTCTGAATTAATTAATTTAAAGAACCTATGTATCTTACATAAATAGCTTAGTTTGATAGATAGACTCACAGAATCTGCTGATATTATATTTTTCAATGTTTCACAGTAATAACAGTGATATTTTTCATACATATTAATATTGCTGAATACAAGGAAGTCTATATTAATATTTTTTTTCTCTTCAACTAAATAAAATACAAGTCTCATATTTTACACTATCTCTGATATGGGTTAACTTAAACTCTTCAACTAAATAAAATACAAGTCTCATATTTTACACTATCTCTGATATGGGTTAACTTAAACGTAAAGTCATGAATAATTTCAGATCACAACTTTGTTTAGTTTGCAAAATATGCTTATTCAACATAGTGACCCCTTAAAAATAGGTGGCGCTAGGGTAACAAATCAAGCATATCTCATTAAATTTGTGATTCTATGTAATGAAACAAAGTTGACATGTTGTTTAGACTAAATACAGTTTATCTGAATTGGTTAAAGTTTTCAACTGTACCAACAGCCCTTTAAAAAAATTTTTTGTGAAATGGGCATTTTACAAGGGGCGCCACCTATACAATGCTGTAAAAAATGTTGCCCACCAGTGCCAGTCCGGCACAGTTCTGATTTTGAAAGTAATTAACTTATAGATAAAGAAAATACAAAGATATAGCATACATCCTAGAAGGCAACCAAAAGTTTCAATATGCCATTATTCCGCTGGACTAACTGTTTATGGTCAGTGGTGAAATCAGGTTCACTTTTGAGATACATTTTACGAAACCATTCATACAATTTGTTGTATTCTTTGATTAAACAATGTCAAAGTAACTCCAATTTCTGGATCTTTTGGACCACCCTGTATTACTTCAATAATATAGCTGTTTAACTATAAAAGTATTTTGGCACACTCTAATGTTCAAATACATACTGCAACACCAGAGCAAGCCCCCTCATCAAAACCATAGCAAGGATTGTAGGAGTACTGCTGGCCAGCTGTGGGACTATCAACATCTTTGTACCTGCAATAAATGAACAGCAGTCAGAAGCATTGCTAGGATAAAAAATTGGTGAGGCAAATAGGAATAGGTGAGGCAAATAAGAACAGGTGAGGCAAATAAGAATAGGCGAGGCAAATAAAAATTGGTGAGGCACATATGAATAGGTAAGGCAAATAAGATTAGGTGAGGTGATTATGACTAGGTGAGGCAAATAATAGGTGAGAAAAAATAAGACTAGGTGAGGCAAATAAAAATTGGTGAGGCCAATAAGAATAGGTGAGTTGATTATGACTAGGTGAGGCAAATAATAGGTGAGAAAAAAGTAAGAATAGGTGAGGCTAAACTTGAGAGTATTTAAAACAACAGTGGGACATAATTTAAACAGATTCGGTAAAAGGAAGACTAACAACATTTTTCTGTTTTTTGCTTGGCACTATACATATGCACTCCCCTCCATAAGTTTGGCAACTGGATAGGAAATCAAAACATGTCAATGTTTTGATCTTTATTTTGTTCTTTAGAAAAAATCTATAAATAAGCTTTGATCAATGATTAAAAATGAAACTTGCTAGTTGCCAAACATCTGGAGGGGAGTGTACAATCAAACTGCAGTTGAAAAGATTTAACTTGACAAAATTTTTAGAAGATACTGTCTGTCTGATATTTTCTTAAATTGAGATGTCTCCATTGATTTTACTATGTCCTGATGGCGGGCCTGATGGGAAACTGAAATGTTCATCCCAACTTATTCAGTAAAATCAAAGAATAATACACAGAGAAACATTTCAGTAAAGAAAACAAACACACCCAAACGCCATAAAACAATACAATCAACAATCAAAACAAGCTACAATCAAAACAAGCAGAAGCTGTATTCAATTTGAAGCAATTAAGAACTACTTACTTTGGTGTATTATCATTTTTAGCCAATGGTTTCAGATCTATCACTCCTCCTGTATCAGATTTACATGTACAAGAGTCCGATTGTGTACATGATGAAATTCCATGTGTAACACCCACCAAACACACAAGAAATAACCCCAATAATGACATAGAAGGAAAATCCAACTTCATTTTTAAATGTGACCTTTTACTCCCGTTTTTAAATTTTAGAGCAAAAATATGTTAATCTGCGTAAATAAGTACATTATCAGTTAATAAGTGTTTATCTTTAAAAGATGGCATCTTATAGGTCCAGATGCATGAATTTCAGTAATAAATTCAAAAATATAATTTTAATGTTACCACCAGAAACGATGGTGTATTGTTATATAAGCTCAAACATTTGTGTGGACAGTGTTTGGCATTCAATGGCCGGTGTTTGGCATTTCTAACAAATGACAGGTGGTGACATTTTGCATGTCAATGCAATGGAGAAGCTTCTAAAATTAAAGTGTTGCTTGTGGATGAGGGATCGATCATACTGTATTTTGTTATTCATAGCATCTCTCTCACAGATCTAATATGTGTGTTACATATCCAGAAGGACAGAGAATGAGAAGGCGTGGCCAATGATATCTACTGTTATCATACATCTATGTTAATAAGAGTTAAAAACATCAAAAATGATTGAGATTTACAAATTTTCAATTTATTAAATTTTCTTCAGGTAAACAGATACTGTAATCATAAATGAGCCTCGTCATAGGAAAACCGGTCTTATCACAAAAATTTTAATTGTGCTACAGAACCAAAAATGTGCCCAAGATTAAGAGGAAAATGTGCTAAATTCAAATCCATCCAGCCATGGCTCATTTGAAAGGTCTTTTTGTGCTTTTTAATAAAAACAAAAAATCAAAACATTGAAAAAATCTGTTATAAGACCCCTTTTCCTGTGGCCTGGCTCAAATGTTGAATAATTTATTTATACTTTTAAAATGTGCATCTAGCCATTGAATACTGTATGCAGGCTCATAGTCATCAGATATATTGTCATGTGACATTTTGACCGAGTTATCTTCATAAAATGATAACAGGACACTCAAAACAATAGAACATACTTAAATTTTACAATTGCATTGTTGTTAATATTTTACTCGAAATTTAAAGTTTATATTGTTATCACAAAAATATAGATGGCATTGTGTATTCTAAAATGCCATACAGCACAACAAACATTCCAGAAATCTTTGCTGAATGGAAAGGCCTCTATTGAATAACTAAAATTATAGAAATGTGTAATTCAGGGATTAGTTATAGTCTTTTTCTGATTCTACCTTCAATAATAATACCAGGAAAAATAGTGGCCATAACAATATGCTACCACTTCTTGATGGGGAAATAAATATATAAAATGCCACATGACAGACAAATTGATAATCAGACAGAGACACATTCCGTACCTGAAGTTTGTTGGGATAATTACTGTAAAACATATGGAATTTGTGGTAGTAATTCTCACAGATTTTTACTTTGGTTTTGCATACTCATGTTTTCGTTATTTTTCCAAATTCCTCAATTCATGCCAGGAATACAATTTTGAATTTACATCATCCGGAATTCAGGATTTTACACTCACACGAAAATACGAAAAATTAAAATGGCGTCGAATTTAATTTACAGAACTCTTGTCAAATCGTCTATGACTTAATAGCAACAAATAACATTAAGTATATGTGCAGAAACAATTTTATTGCAAATGTAATAAACATATTAGATCATTACAACTTAGTTTATTTAATTCAAATTTGAACAGAAAATACATGCAAGAGGGCGAGTAAGTGTTAGTCTCCTAGAATCATTGACTATATCAAGGAGCTATTTGATGATGGCTGGGCACTTTACATGTGTCTGCATGAGATGATACATAAAATAAATTCAGAACTTTTCAATTGTTTTGTTTTGGGTGTGAGGGGTGGCCCACTCCCCCTAGAAAATTTTACAATTTTAAAACGCTATTCAGTGCACTCTGGGCACTTTCAAAGAGTATGAGTCAATTAAAAAATTGAGAAAATCACAATTCTTTTCTATTTTTTGGAGGGGTGTCAAGGGGGGCGGGGGGGAGAGGGGGAGGTGGGGTGGGGATCCCGAAGGAGAGCAAGTGTTAGTCCCCCAGAAACATTGACTATATCAAGGAGCTATGTGATGATGTCTGGGCACTTGGGCACTTAAAAAGTGTCTGAGACAATACATAAAATAAATTCAGAACTTTTCCATTGTATTGAGGGGGTGTGAGGGGTGGCCCACTCCCTCTAGAAAATTTTACAATTTTAAGATGCTATTTGGTGCTTTCTGGGCACTGTAAAAGTGTATGAGACGATGAAAAAAAATTACAAAAAAAAAAAATTTAAAAAAAAATTAAAAAGGGGGGTGCGGTCGCACCCATCGCACCCCCCCCCCCAATCTGATGGCCCTGTGTACGCCTAGCTATAACTTTATCACGGTGTTATAGCATGACTACTACGTCAAGGCGATTTGCAGAATTTTGCGGTAACGATAACAAAAAATGGCGGATGGGAAAGGCAGCATGTCATGGTTATAAAGACTGGGTCAAAGGACAAGGTGCAATTATTGGCAAATATCCCTATGGTCAAAATGAATCATTCGTAGGTGTAACATGAAGAATAAAATGTCATATAATACTTTGGAAAGTATTAAAGTGCTCGGACACACATAAGCTGAGACAGGGATCATTTCGTTCAGTAAGGTTGTATTGACTTACATGGGGCTGTGCACCATTGACTTAACATGAGGATATCAGCAGATCCCAATAGAGGCCATTGGTTTCCATTGATTATCACAGAAATACCAAAAATACACCATGACCTGAATCGATTGCAAACTTAATAATTTCACAATACGACACAAATGGTTTATCTCATCAAATGTGCAAATATGAAGTTTGCAATCGATTCAGGTCATACTTAAAATTAAAAAGATTGTACATTTTTCATCATTTTTTCCCCTACAAAATGGCTATAGAAAAATGCTCCAAAAACAACTTTTACACTTATCAAATATCATACAAGTTTGTAAAACCAAAGATTATACTATTATATTTCATTATGTAGTAACATATTTGGATAAGATGCAGGGATGCGTAGGATGTAAATGGATTTTGACAGACACAAAAATACTTCCTGGTTTGGAATCTATGCCTCTACACTTCATGATTGAATTATGACCCTAATAAGTGGCCTATACATCAATACAGTGCTGAATATAGGTCAACAAGATACTAGTGTGCATATAAATGTAATAATTGAAGCAGAATACTCATTTTGAAAAATCAGATGAATTATTTTTTTCCCATGGGGAGATCCCAATGGAGGGTGTATAAGGTCCTTTGCCAGGTGGTCTACAAGAAACAGAATATAAGCTGTTAACCTACCGACTGAGATATCCAAGTTCATAACTTTTGGTCCCTTCTCGTATTTTCTCAGTACATGTGCCTCAGAGCCACAATCAAAATATTAACTGTAAGTAAACTGTGTAAACTGTGTATAAACAAGGTTTCAAACGCAATGTTGTTAGACGACTACGTATGACTTCTATCGAATTCTATGGACGGTAACGTATTGTATTACCGTACCGATTCCCGTAAAAATATATGAGAGGTTGACAGGTCTGTAAATTGTAGTGGTGAATCATCAGCTTGCATCTGATTAAGTTGACATCTTCTGTTCTGCATCCCTGAAACATTGCTACACAGACATCCTATCGTGTATTAGCAATACGCCAGAAAGTAAACCAATAACGGGACAGGGTCACACCATCGGTACATAAGCCAAATTTTCATATTCTCACAAATAAGGGAAACGGGACACATCTTCTCATCTACATGGGGAATTGAGTTGGTCAACACACTTCCATGGGGATTATGATATTGGTCTTGGGTTATTCGTAACATTGGGATAAATATAGTAACATTCGTTTCCAGGTATCTCGGGACAATGGGATTTTCCTATGGGACATCCATTCTTATCGGGTCTAACTGGGACTTTTGGACTAATAATGAGATACTGTTTCAGAGAAACAATATGTATTCAAGTTTCATAGAAACCTTCTTATTTGAATTCTATTTGAATTCATTCACCATGGGACAAATGGCTCCATCTTTTGGAACTATGTGGAATAATGGGACAGCTCGTACTATCAAGCAATACTACTACGGTCTTTATTAGAACATCACTTGTCTGACTTGATCTACTTGAACAACATCCACCTTGTTAATTCATTAAGAAAAATGTCTGGCTGTTCCGGGACTATATACATTATTTACATTGTCTAAGGGGCTACTGTTTACTAACCAGTCTCCAGCTGGCGAAAAGGACATTTGTACCTTGAGCTCTTTGCCCAAAAGTAACAAACTCAAATGGGAAAATTGCCCTATATACATCAATAAGAACTAATTTATACGGGAACAATAGAATCTGTGAGTGTGACTTCACACCAATCCACATCGGATTTAAGCTCAATAACAGACTTCCTACTATTCAGGACAATTAACCCGGCCGGGGCAATAACAACATTAAAAGGGTATATCGGACCCTCATCACATCAAATACAGTCTCTGAACTATTCAGGGAATCCAGACCCAGAATGCATGGATGTTGGATACAAGCAACATACATTGACTATAAGATATTAACCCCTACCCACAGATATTTGACACATCAACTTCCCCTGGGATGGGACATTGATTGCCACTGGTGACAGTTATGGCCAAAACTGCCTCGCTAAATGTGGGCTTTTAGACCACTCTCGATCTTGACCACCCTCGGTCTCGTTATATGCAAAGGCTATTCGCGATTACACTGACATTAGCCCCTATTTCGAACCAAACAGTGGAGAACACTGCCTAATCATATAGACAATACTACTTTAACTTATAGGCAATAACACACCTGAATTTCGTATCATCGGCCCCTTGACTATTTACAAAGATTTCATGTGGGCTGGGATGAGATCTTACTTACAGGTATAAACATTATATTTATTATCTAAAAAAGAGCACCTGAATACTCAACTTATCGGGTCGGTCTGGTGTACGCACTGTGGTTAGGACATGTGCCATGTTCTGTTGGTGGAGAGACAACAGAACTAGTTATAATTGATGCCAATGGTATTGACATCATGGACTATAAGAGATTTGGATACAGTGTGTAATATATCACATCTCATGACTGATATTATTGGACACAGTCTGTGATGTACTTGGACTTAAAGGTAACATTAAAATGGGCATTCATTACCTCGTATGGGTATGCGCATACCCAAGCTATCTCTTATATGTTCATCATGCCCATCATGACAAACAAAAAGAGAAACTCACAAACAAGGTATAGACAGGGATAAAACATATCACTATAAATGTGTTACAAAGGCCTTTATGGGCATCGTTCAAGTATCGATGGTTTCACTGTATTAGAATAATATGGTATGCAAGGTGGGGAAAACATCCCATAAGGGTGTATAATGGAGGTGGCCACTATAACAGGAAGTAGATTTAGGGAAAAACTACTTCATCAATCAAAAGGGACAGTCCCTATGGTAAGCTATGGGGACTGGGTGGTTTGTATAGTTTCATTGTAGGTAACTAAAAACGGACATAGAATCACAAAAATCGTGGGTCTTGATAGGGCGGGACCTATCAAAATTCCACCGCTGCCAGCCAGTGTAACATTCCCTCAAAATATACTTTGGTAGCGTGGTTAAAAGAGAGGGAGATGTTATTGGTTAAAATTATGAACTTTATTTTTAGTTAATTATGGGGGGTGTAAAACATCTGTCTTTACAATGAGTCTTATAAGAAATAAACTTTTATGTCAAAAGAAAGATGGCGTTCTGGTAAAAATCTCTACATCTTGATTATACTGGAAATTGCCTCATGAAAGGGGGGATAATATCATCTTAAAGAAATATAACACGACAAAAGTTTTAAATAAAGAAACATATTTACATGTGTATATTGTTTGGATATAAAACATAAAAAATGACAATAGTACAGTAATAATTAGTTATGAATATTCAAACTGTGTTCTGGGAGAAGTTTCTATATAAAGTGACTAACATGGACCAACAATGACTAGCACGAATTATAACAAGTGACTAACACGAGCTAACAAGTGACTAGCAAGTGACTAGAAAGTGACTAGCAAGTGACTATCAAGTGACTAGCAAGTGACTAACACGAGCTACATGGTTGGAAATTTGCAATATGAATGCCGGAATTTCCAGAGACTGGGAAAGCTGGACTATGGGGTACTTTGGGAAGGGGAAATACATCTCTCTAATAGGATACATGGTCCTGGGACTAGAGGAGATGTAAAGGGGCTCCTGGGCAACTTTTGGGCCGGAGCATTATATACATTTCAAGGTAACTTTCATGTCAAATCTCGAAACAGAATGTCATAAAACATATATCAATTTGTTGATCATCATTTGATTAATACAAATATATATTTACCTAACACCAATAGAGTCGGAACACTGCAAAATCGATCGAAACGCAGGAGATATATCCATTAGCAGCCTTACAGTTGAAATCTAAACAGAACACAAACCAAACTTCTCAACTGAGGAAAACCTTACGCCGAATTAATAAACTAACCTAACAAATAAAAGTATTTCACACCTAACACAGATACCAAAATATGATTAACATAAATACGCTGAATACAGAAGTTGTGATTGAAGTAAATTGCTTATAATTAATGGTAATTACTGGATAAAATCCTTGGACTATATTCTGCACTATTTGTACCTTTAATATCAATACGCCATCACTGAAAAGTATTTATGTGGAGATAGGCATTCTTCTTATAGAGTGAATATCATCTGAATGCATATAAACATACAACTTATAAACAATTAAAGTCAAAATCTAATTAAATAAAGAGATAAATACAGTAACAGCACACCAAAGAATAAGAGAAATTATGTTATAAGTATATATGAATTTGGTGGGTTGTTACACAAGTACTGATGAAGGTGACAAAATTAATGACAATGAATCCGGGTTTCATATTTGAATCAGGTTCGCGTAACCGTCTATTAATTTTTCACGTTACCGCAAATTCAAAATACATTATTTTGGCTCAAGTAGAACATATTAGGTGGTTTCCAATGCCTAATTGGCTTAGTGTGATCGTATGTAGGTTACATCTATATACCCTCAGGTTTTTAGGCAATGTTACAACAAAAATAAACAAATTACTCAATTTTGTGTAGTTTTGAATTTCAAACTCGACAGTTTTTCTCTTATTTCATGTTATCCCCGGGCATCAGTTTGCAAAGACTAGGTTTAAAATATACATTACTGAATGCATCACCGAATGAATCGTTCATCCTTTCATTGATACACAGTAGTAATAAATAATGCACCAACCTTAGTTTTCTCTTCCATCGCGGCCATTTCATTGGATAAATCAGTGAACGTAGCCGTCCAACCTCGTTTTCAGAGGTGGCGTAACCGTCACGCTATAACACCGTGTATATACGCCTAGCTACTGGACCTACAAAAGCTCAAGTTATGAAGATAAAATTACTATAAAATTCTCAGCATTTTTACTGCAATGGTAATGCATATTCGTATGGTCGGGAAGCTCCTACGTCATATTTATCGCGGCTCTACAAAGGACCTTATAAACCTCCATTGGGATCTCCCCATGGGAAAAAAAATAATTCATCTGATTTTTCAAAATGAGTATTCTGCTTCAATTATTACATTTATATGCACACTGGTATCTTGTTGACCTATATTCAGCACTGTATTGATGTATAGGCCTCTTATTAGGGTCATAATTCAATCATGAAGTGTAGAGGCATAGATTCCAAACCAGGAAGTATTTTTGTGTCTGTCAAAATCCATTTACATCCTTGCGCATTTACGCATCCCTGCATCTTATCCAAATATGTTACTACATAATGAAATATAATAGTATAATCTTTGGTTTTACAAACTTGTATGATATTTGATAAGTATGAAAGTTGTTTTTGGAGCATTTTTCTATAGCCATTTTGTAGGGAAAAAAATGATGAAAAAATGTACAATCTTTTAATTTTAAGTATGACCTGAATCGATTGCAAACTTCATATTTGCACATTTGATGAGATAAACCATTTGTGTCGTATTGTGAAATCATTAAGTTTGCAATCGATTCAGGTCATAGTGTATTTTTGGTATTTCTGTGATAATCAATGGAAACCAATGGCCTCTTTTGGGATCTGCTGATATCCTCATGTTAAGTCAATGGTGTACAGCCCCATGTAAGTCAATACAACCTTACTGAACGAAATGATCCCTATCTCAGCTTATGTGTGTCCGAGCACTTTAATATTTTCCAAAGTATTATATGACATTTTATTCTTCATGTTACACCTACGAATGATTCATTTTGACCATAGGGATATTTGCCAATAATTGCACCTTGTCCTTTGCATTATTTGAGGTGAATAAAATACAGAGAGCTCAAAACAATAGTGATCAACTAAAGTTTACGGTATGTACACTATTGTATTGGTGCAAACTTTATGATTTAACCAAAATTTACAAAGAACCCTTTTTCTATAATTCTACCATTTTATCCTATTACTGTTCACTTTAATCTTTATTAACATGTCCTGTAATATTGTTTTGAGAAAAATTATACGAACTAAGTCAAACACATATTTGTTATGAAGTTGAGTGTTAATATTTTTAAGACATTTATGTGTGTTTGTGATAAATGTGAAAATGTGAAAACATGGGAAAATGGGAATTTGCCAATTTTGATCATCTTGTGTTTACTTGAAAATATTAGCGCATGTAAAATGAATCCTTCATACACAATGATATGTTGTGTTCATCCAATCAAGTATGCCTGTTCCTTTAACCCCTGTAAACCACCTATTGCATATTTTCCACAATCGTCCAACAAGACAAGACAATTGAACAAAACATTACAATTTATAAATCCATTAAGTCAAATATCACATCCCATCTTGCATTTATGTTCCGGTTGGAACATGATTGGCAATGGTTGTGTTACATTCAGTCATAATTAATCATCCCAATCCTTGGCGATCTTGTATGCCCACTCCCATCTTAAATGTACATTTTTGTCATCATCGATGAAGAGACTTTTCACAGTATATTCACCCCGGGCTTGCATCCCAGAGGGAGCCTCATCTGTGGGAGTACTATAGATGTGTTCTTCTTCGCGCGGAGCATAAGACCCAACAATGAAGCTGTTCTTGTCAACTGCAACATAAAGTGTACATATACATTATACATATGTAATTAGCATGTTGAGTATGTACACGTAACAATATGCCTGGTTGTAAAACATACACAATATTCCAGCACAGGAAACCTTTATTTATCCAACACGGGAACAGTTATAAATTCTCCATGGATGGTTAGATAAAGGCTGGCTGAGATATTTAAACGGAAAACTTTCCATATTTTCCTATAGGATTGAAACAAAAGGCATTATTATTGTTGGACATTTTCAGGAACACACTCTAAACTTATATTTTGATTAAATATTTGCTGATCATTATTGTTGGACATTTTCAGGAACACACTCTAAACTTATATTTTGATTAAATATTTGCTGCATGGAACTTATCATTTGGTTGACAGTTTTGAATGGTCAAGGAACAACTTGTTTCATCTATATGTATCTATCAGTATGTCATGTTATGAGATTTATGGGTTTCTTCCAAAAAGTTGAAACTCAGGCATCAAAAAGATGTTGACAGATTAATAGTTTTCCTCACCCAGTGGTTTAATGAGATTAGAGATTAGAGCTGGGAACAAAGAACGCTCAACGCAGAGTTTCAGTGATCCAGCCAGTGATAGATAAAACATTCCCTCTGACCGGGTCATAGCTTGCGAGGTGCCCTGGGATACTGGGGTCAACTTCCAGAGTCTGGGGTTTGCATAAGCCAGCTGAATCGCTGATCTGCTCTGTGTTGTTGTAAGGCCATTAATCATTTTGATCATTGGTCACTTTGAGTTTAAAAACCTGCACTGGTAAAGAATTGGACACTTTTCGGCTTGGCTTTAGATTGTGAAGATGTATTGTAATTTGTAACTGTTTGGACTAAACTTTAAAATTATTAAATAAAGTATGAGTATTAAGGAATCGACTAGTTTGTCATTCTTTACAATATTAGATAAACTTTTAATAATGAATTGGACCGACCTAGGGGTCCAACATTATATGTCAAAATGGCACCAAATTGTAAGTTATTGCAAATTGTTAGATGCTGAACTCTGAATACCGACAAAAATGTTGGAGACGATAAACAATATATCTCCACTTCAGACATTTGGTGGGGGTGACAAAAAATAGTTTTGTGATTTAATAATCCAACCTGAAGTAAATGTCCTATCCATATCTTCAAAAATGTAAATTCTGCATAAATATTCCTTGTGCATGCTTTATTTAAGATGATTATGAAATTGTAAACGAATGGAAACATTTTATAAATAAACTTTCAATTAACATCAGAGTTATGTCTTGTAATTGATTTTGTGAGGAAGTCAATTGTTTTGGCTTGAGACACAATAAAATCTTGAATCTAACCCTACTATCACACCAAACTAGTTTTCACTACGTTCTCGAAAACGGGCTTTAACTGTGTACTTGAACCGTTTGGGGTCTATTTACAAACTTCATCGAACGTACTCGAACGGGTAGGTCCTTTAGAACTTAGAACATGCTCAAAATGTTCTTGTGGTCGATACGTTTTACAATTAGAACGAGTGACAACGTACTAACAACGAGCTGGACGTACTACGAACGGAACCGTCGTACTTCAATTCTACTAGGGACGTTTTAACAACGAGTTGAACTGTCTGAGGACGTGTTGAGAACGAGGTAGAACTAATTGCAAACGGGTTTAAACGGATTAAGAACGTATTTAAGACTGCTTATGAACGAGTTAGCAAAAATATAGCTATCACACCAAACAAGTTGCCACTGTGTTCTTCAAAACTGGTTTTAAACTGTGTGCGAACGGAATGAACGTAGCTACAACGTTCTACGGTCTGTTTACGAACTTCATGGACTTTCCCGGATGGGGAATGTGATTTAGAATTTTGAATCGATTCAAAATTCGATGGCGACCATACCGTTCTGTAATCAGGTCGTGATAACCTTCTAGACTAAGGGACGCGTTCTACGACGTTGCACACCGACGTGGTGCGACTTGAACGAACTGCGTATGAGATGGACGTATTGAAGACTGTTTATGAACGTGGCTAACAGTCAGATTGAGCCCGTTTTAAGACGTTTTCGTAGGACTGGCAAGAACGAGTGGGAACTAGTTTGGTGTGATAGGGGGGTTAGTATAATAACAAACCTCGCACTCCTTTCCTGCAAGTCTTGTCCACATATCTTAAGCCCATAACAATCTTACGCTGCACGAAGAAATGTACTTTAAGTTTATAGGTTACACCCTCTTTGATGGTCACTCTCTGTTTCTTGAGAGTTTCTATGTCTTCTGGAAATGTCAAAAAATGCAACTGGTTTGTAAAGAATAATCAAGATATAACAGAATTCATTTCATGAAATATGACACAACAGAATACATTTCAAAGAATAATGACACAAAAGAATACATTTTAAAGAATAATGACACAACAGAATACATTTCCAAGAATTATGACACAACAGTATACATTTTCAAGAATTATGACACAACAGATCATTATGCAATGCAAGGGATTATGAAAAAATACAATAAATATGTTCAAAATAGTTACCATAACTAAACAAAGTATGAAACTTGACAGATGGAACTTACTAGTTAAATCTAAATCTACATCAGGTCTACCCTCTGTACAGAAACTCATCTTTGTGACGATAACTTTCCTCGGATCCTCAGGGACTGAAACAAATTAACACCTTGTATTATCAATATTTATTTTTACTAGAAGTTCTCACAACAGGCTAAATAAATGAAAACAACAGGCAAAATTAATGGAATAAATTTAACATGGAAAAGTTGAAAGTCCCTCAAAACAAAATACGCGATTTTGAGAAAACAACCGGTGAACTTTGCCAGTTGCCTGCTACTAATGAGACCCCCTGGATGAAACCCCTGTACTTATTTAACATATTTGTAGATTTGGAAAATGGACACACACTAACTGAAAATATTCAATAATAAATAATCATAATTTCTTTTGTTTTGCACGTGGTTAGGAATGCTAATGTCCAAACCCCTAGTTTCAAATATAAGTATTTAGAACCAACCTTTAATGTATTTCACTTAAACTTTACAAATATATTCTCCAAACACCATTAAAAATATTAATCAGGGGAATTTTAAATGGGTTTTGCTTCACTAAAAAGTATCATCTTTTATGAATTCTAATTACTTAATTAAACGGGAAATTAAATATTTCAATAAGGTACAATACTATACAGAGATATGTACCATGATGTTTAACCTTATTCAAAGGAATATTGACATTTTAGCAATTTGGGAATTTTGACATTCATTGATTTTTTTCCAAATTCAAAAGTCGTGCACTTACAGAATATAACCTTTTCTCCCGGTGTCGCATCACCAGGCAGTTTTTTCTTGTACTCCTCCAATGATTTATCATCTTTGTCTTTTTCCAGCATCTCATTCATCGTGACCTGCTTTAGTGGGATGTATCCTGGGGTTTCGATGTCAATAGTGGATAGTTTCTACACGATCAGTATTGATGCATAATGTTTTTTACCATAAAGACACGTCAAATGAGAGAAAAAGCCAAAAATCATTCGACCAAGGCCGTTTTTAAGTTATCCATTTGGCACTTCTTCTCGGACAGCTTTTTGTATAAAGGTAAAGGTACTTACCAAAGTAATGGTTACCAATGCTCTAACTCAAATCATCATATTATTTTTGGCATAACCATTTTTTGGCACAAACCTTTCGACTTATATGACATACAAGTAGGTGGTGGTACGTGTTTGCTGCTTAATACTTGCCTTTTTTGTTTTATATATTTTTCTGAAAATGTTATGTCCCAAAGACCTGAGATGCCAAGCAGTAATAGTCAATAGTCCGAGAAGGCGTCGGCATAATTGTTTTTGACATAATATGGTATGACTCATTATAAGTACCTCCAGAAATTATTATTCCTAACCAATCAATTTTTAATATTATACGAACTTATGTTCCAAAAACATTTCTTGAATAAATGCATGTGAGTGTCATCCCAATTCCCCTGAATGTAATTTTCAAGAACGTTGATGTCCCAAAGTCTGAAAATACCCTATTCTAACTATGGATAATCTGAGATGGCATGTGTGCTAACAAGATAAAAAAACATTCATTGGCCTTTGATAACCTTTCTTCCTTGTAACATATAACATATACAGCAAGTTGCTGTGTGATTTGAAACCTCTAACCTTCAAACACAGAAAGGCTAGTACTAGATATAGTAGCTAATAGAAAGGTTAAGAACAATTGTATATGGATAATTGGATATGTAATATTATGATCCCCCCTCCCCCTGGGATTACTTATGTAAGAAAATGTGGCACCTCATTTATGTCTCCAAGAGAAAAGCAAGTGACTGGCACTATATGAAGTACACTCTATAAACCATACATTTTCAAGGTAGTCTTGCACCAAGCCAATGTATACCCCTCCCCATTAAGAATGTGGGGATAGGGGCTTGTAAAAAGACTATTTGCCAAGTTACAAATTGCCATACTTGCAAATTAACTAACACCAAGAAACAGCAACATGATCAAACCAGATCATTGAGATCGGAGCATTTTCTATATTACCCCCCTATCACACCAAACTCGTTCTTACCCGTTCTTGCCAGTCCTACGAAAACGTCGTAAAACGGGCTCAATCTGGCTGTGGTCGGGAAATATGT